TAGGGGTAGAGTGTGCGGGGGTGGGAAAGCAGTCTATAGTCCTATGATCAGGTCTCAGTCTTTTAGTGAGCCTGTGCCTCTGGACTGTGAACTTTACAAATGTTTCTCAGATTTTTCCTTTCTCCTTAGGTGGGACAGAATGACTAAAGTGGACTGGAGTTGGTCATTTCCCTTCTCCCAGGTCAGTTAGGCTCGGATAATATCCCAGCAGGTTAGGCTCTGGTGAACTAGTTTCTTCTGAGGGCAGGTCATTAAGAACAACAGAGTGCTCTGGCATATTTAAAAATGGTAATTTTTTTCTTCCCCCCACCAGAAGCACAAGGAGATTTTTCTCTCCTATTTACTGGATATTTAGCTGTGGGAATCTGGTTGAGCTCTGGGAAGTAAACCTTCCCCTATGTGGGAACCCTCCCTCCATGACTGGGTTCCCCTGGAGGTTTTAACTCTTGGTGTTGTCCACACTAAGCCTCCAGAAATTTGTCAATTACACTTTGGGTTTTCTTACCCAGCATTGGTTCTTGATGCTGTTTCTGCATGTGCGTCTGTTTCAGGAAGCCATTCCTCCTGGTATTTGCATTTCTGTCTCTCTAATTTTTAGGGGCAGCAGTCTGCCCTGTGTCCTCCCTCATCTTATGGATCCAAGAAGAGTTGTTGATTTTTCAGTCCGGTCAACTTTTTAGTTTTTAGGATGGAGTGGTGACTTCCTTACATACAGCACCAAGAAATGGAAGTCAAATGAGAACTTTTAATAGAGAGTAAGGATGGAGGTGTGTGCCAAGAATGACTAAAGAAGGGATAATTTGAGCTGAGTTGTGAAGAACGAGTTGGAATTAAGTAGATGAAATGGATCAGAGAGGTAGAGAGTGGAAGTGAGGTGAAAATGATTTTGGCAAAGGGAATGACAAGGGCAAAAACTTACAGTGAGGGTATGATGTAAAGGAGCAACTGAAAGACAGTGGACTGGCTGCTCTGTAGATTTGGGGAGGGAGTGTATTCTAAAGCAGGCTAGAGAGAAAGGAAGGGGTCAAGTAATGCAGGGCCTTGTAAGTCATATTAAGGATGTTGACCTTTATGTTAAGCCTGATGGGAAGCCATTAAGTGTTCTGAGCTGGAGGTCAAGAAGAAGTTGAATGATGCGATCAGTTTATATTTGGAAAAGATCACTCCGGTTGCTAGGTGGGAAAGGAATAGGAGGGTCAAGAATACCTATAGCAATAGTCTTGGTGAGAACAAATGGTAGCTTGGTCTAAAACTGGTAACAGTAGAAATAGAGAGGAGTGCAATGAATGAAGGGCAACTTGGAAGTAAAATCTACAGATTATGGTGATGGACTGGATGTTAGGGGTGAGGGATAAGAGAAGTCTAAAGGATGACTTCTGAGTTCCTGGCTCATATAAATTAATAGATAGTGGTGCCATTCACTGAGACTGATATGCCAGATAAAAGACAAGATTTAAGGGAAGAAAGATTGTGGTTTTGGGCAAGTTGAAGGGCCTTTGTGTGTTATCTAAGTAGGCGGTTGGATAAAGGTCCAGAATCTCAAATAGGGGGTGGCAAGGAGTCTGGGTCTGTAAATAAACATTTGGGAATCATCTTCTGTGTGGGTGTGACTGCTGGAGTAGAGAGTACAGAGTGAAAAGAGAAGCAGCCTAGGAATGTACCTTGAAAAACCCTACCATTTAATGGTTGGGTTGAGGAGGATAAGCCTGCAAGGGAGACTGAAGAAATGGCCAGTTAGGAGAAAACCCAAATGAGAGTAGTAGTATAAAAGCTAAAAGGAGAGGTGCTTAAAGGGGGAGGGAGTGATCAATAGTGTCAGACATGGCTGAGGGCTCAGAATTAAATACGTTTATTGAATGTATTGACAAAGAGACCATTGGTGACTTCAGCAAGGGCTTTACTGGTAGAATAACAGAAGTCAAAGTCAAACTACTGTTTATTAACTTTCACAAATGATCTATTGCAACAAGGATGAAGATAAAACTCAGCAAAACACAGAAATTAACTTTCATTAGTGTATATATTCATCATTGCATATTCCTGCTGCTTCTGTATCTTTTAGCAAAGTTTAATATTATGTAATTATAGTGCTTAGAAGGCCCTGTCATCATTTTACAGATGTGAACTGGGTAAAACTTGAGTCCATGGAGGCAGGAAGGCTGTGGGCCTTCCACGCAGCACACTGTTCTTTCCATTGCATTATGCTCTGGGAATATGTTTCTTTGTTCAAATCATCCTTTACTATTCTGCTATACTATTCCATATATCAGTATTTTAATTTTAGAAGATAAGTTTTATAACATCAGGAAACATATCTGTTTTTTTGACATTAATGTCTTATTCAAGCATATAGTATTGTATAATTTACAGAACAGGCATGTAGTTTGTTTTTTTTTATAGTGATCATATACAAGATACAGTATTCCTGTTACTTGGCACTCTGTTTAAGCATATGGTTTTGAGTGCATGGAATGGTAAGAATTTGAAGCCAAATGAAGGTTGAACTGAATATAGAGTATATGTCTAGGGATTAGTTCTTTATAAGAGTGATTCTTGGCACTTCAGTGTTTGATTGAAATAAGTAAGAACCCTGGCCTCCCTTAAAATATGAAAGTAGTATATCCTTCAATTTGCTTTTTAGACTTGATATTTTTCATTTTGAGATTTAATGATATCCTCTCTGACTCTTTGGGATGTCAGAAAAAGTCAAATTTAGAAATTACAGTCTGTAAGCTTTCCAAGTCTATTCCGATTGGATTGCAGGGGCCTAAAGCTTCCTAAGGCAAATGATATGCATAGTTTCCTTTCTCTTCAGTGAGAAATAGCAAATTTTAGTTTAGACTAATTAGTTCTGCTCTTATATAATGTTGTCTATTAGGCTGTATGGAATAAAACAATACAGTGGGCTTGAATATATTATCCAAATGAAGAAAGACAAAATCCTCAAATTTTCAATTAAACTCAGCTGAGTCTTTTCACTGGGGTTTCGTTGCAAACTATACACTTTCTTCTGGCTCTAATGAAATCATTTCATCTTCAGAGTAGTTGTTTTCCTAACATACGAGCTTTCAGAGGTGAAAGACTTTTAGAGTCATACATTTAACAATTTTGACTTAATAACTTTGAAAGTTCTCCATGTACATCTGGATACTGAGATTTTGCATTCGTGAATTAATGAAATGTTTGGTCATGATGAAAATTTTGATTCAGTATACAGTTAGAACTGGTTATTAGTTCTCAGCAGCCTGTAGTAGAATTCTATGGGCTGTGGGGGTGGGGAGGAGTGGAGAACAAAGTAGGGTGGGCAGAATAGGGGAAATGCCTGATTACAGAAAGTGATTAATGAGGGGCAGAATCTTGGCCCTCGTGCTCATTGGAGCCTGCAGCCCTAATTTTATTAATGGGTGAATTTCCATCACCAAACTTGATCCCAGATATTCATAAAAGTCACTGCTACTTTCAGCCATTAAACCTGCCCCTTCCCTGGCCTATTAATAAAAATATTTATAACTCTGATATACCAGAATTAAAAGATTGCACTCTCCGTGCTTTAGTTAGTGGTTTAAATTGTTAGAAAAAAAGATAAACCAAATAAACCAATAAAACAAGCAGTTTCCAAAGTAGAAAAAGGATTGGGCTTTTGTCACCACCTGCATCTATGTCCCCAAATGACAAGCTGGTTAATGTCACTGTTGTTGATTTTTTATTTTGAGAATTAAAACTTAACATTCTTGAGTTGCAAAGAGTTCTTAATTGAATAGTATCTTTGATAAACACATGATTAGGTTTGGAAGGGTGATGTTAATACAGATATAATTTTCTAGGCTTTGAAATATTAGTCATACCTACAGTATAGGTTCATATCATACATTAACACTTTAGTTATTGGCAACTACCTGTTTTTCTACCACAGTTTTTTGAGACACAGAACAAGAAGATAAACTTGGAAGGCTTCCCTCCAATCAGTCAAAATTGATAGTGCAAAATGTATGCATTAATTCAAAGTAAAGCTCCTTGTCCTACTCAAAGTGTGTTTTTAAAAATTATTATTTTAGGCCGGGCATGGTGGCTCATGCCTGTAATCCCAGCACTTCGGGAGGCCAAGGCAGGTGGATCACCTGAGGTCAGGAGTTGCAGACCAGCCTGGCCGATGTGGCGAAACCCCATCTCTACTAAAAATACAATTAGCAAGGCATGGTGGCTGGCGCCTGTAATCCCAGCTACTCAGGAGGCTGAGGCAGGAGACTCGTTTGAACTTGGGAGGCGGAGGTTACAGTGAGCCGAGATCGCACCACTGCACTCCACCCTGGGCATCAGTGACACCCTGTCTCAAAAAAAAAAATTTTTTTTAGACATATTATTAGTATTTGTTATTTCCAGAACACAGTAGATATGAAGCAATGAATTATGACTGGTCCAGGAGCCCACAGAGTACTAGTAGCACAAGTGACAGCTGGTAGCTTAGCAGTGAAAAATGAAAATAAAAAGCAGATTTGAGGATTTAGCAAAAATGGAAGTGTAGGAAAAGTTAATGTACACAAAACAGCCTTTCATGCCTTAGTGGCCTTTTGCCTTATTCCTGTGTTATGGAATGGTGTGAGAATGAACGTTCTTATTAATCAGATGGCACAGAGTAGACACCCGATAAACGGTTGCTGAATGGGTCTTTAAGAAAAGGCTGGGTTATACTTGATTAACTCTCTTTATAGAATAAAGAAAAGGGTGTGACAGAGTTCCCTTTGCTGTAGAAAGATTTTCTTTAAAAATTTATTATTATTATTATTTTAAATCACATCTTCCAAACTTAAGGGAGTAAACCTTAGCTACCAAGAAAATTAACTTTTGGGAATAGCCTTGTTTTTTCTTAATTCTAAATTAATCAGGAATTAGTGTCATTTGTTTCCACATTTCATATTTACATTTTTATTTATTAGCACTAAGATACTACCACATGGGTGGTCATATAAATTAAATAATTTCTCATTACTTTTGAATTTCAGAAGTCTCTATTATCTGGGGGAATGTATCAGAATTTGTGGGACGGCAGTTAACCCTGCACAAGGTAATATTTATTAATTTATTAATAAATTAAATTTATTTATTAATTTTAATGTAGGCATCTAAAGGATCTTTCCTCCATAGTCTTATATAATGTTGCTGGGAGCAGGGCAGTAGACTTTAGAGCCATCCCATTTAACTTCCAGTCCTGTGATTTTATGATGCTCATGCTTCGGACTTGTGGATAATAGATGTAACAAACATGAATTTTATTTTTAGGTAATGAATTTGTAAGTTCTGCTCTTCTAGTGTTACAGAGTGTAGTGCTGATCAGCCTGGGTGTGTGTAAGGAAACTAGATGAGTTCTGTTTGTCTGTGATCTGATAGTTCCTGGCATAGCTGTAGAAAGATATAACGCTTCTTGTCTTGCCTCCTTGCAGGGAATGGATTTTAATTGAAATAGAAGACTTACCAAAATGAGAAACTTTGCCCAGGGCTGGACCGTTCCCTCCTGTTAAGTCTTGACTTTAGATGCCATAAAACTACATGGAGATTTGGGGATGAGCTTGGGGGAAGCTGGGAAGTTGTGAAACTTTTATACCCCATTCAGAGGTCCTACTGTGAGAGCCCTTGGGCAGAATTCATACTTCAAATTTATTTTGTTTGGCTTGAGAATTTGCATTTGTTATCAGCACTTAAACTTGGGAGAAATTATATAATGTTTTAGATTTTTCCCCTCCCTTTCATTGAAAAATCAGCAGATCTAACGATACTAGTCTTCCATTACTACGTGGTGACACATTTGGAGCTCAAGATGTGTTCTTCCCTTTAGACGGGGTGTGCAGTCCATAGCCATCACATTCCCTGGCTGGCTACTTTCACTCTCTTGCTTTCTTTTTTGGCTCCTATAGGCATTTGAGTTTGTAGTCCTTGATATATGATATCTCCAGGGAAACAGAAACCCAGTATGAGAGCTAAAAACATTTGCTTCTACCCATCAGCCAGGATCACTACATTGCAGCATATGATTTGGATGCTGGGTTGTCTAAGTGGCAGACATAAAATCTAAAAGTAGGAATGAGAAAGCAGAGATTCTCATGCCCTCTTAAATTCCTCTAATGGCAGATGATTAAAATTTAAAATGTCACACAATTTAGGACAGGAGTAATCTTGGTTAAAGATTAAAAGATGCTATGACATTCACACAAATTTTCTTAGCCTTTTGATGATACAGAGATGAGCGATCTGATGTCTGTAAATCATCATGGACCAATATATTACATTTTATACTCAGCTTCTTTGAAAACTTAGAATTATAAAATGCTATCACTCTGAAGAGTCCTAGAGATCACTGAATTTTTAAGCCCTAAGCTTACTTCTCTTCATGTTTTTTGGATAATAATATTAAAGATTATTTTTTCTTCACTCCTTCAATGATTTTTTTTTTTTTTCCTTTCAGGGGGTTCAGATTCCAGGATTTGGAACTTTCACTTTCATGAGACAAAAACTTGAGGTGGGAAACAACAAATTTATCTTAATCCAGAGGCCTGTGTTTATTATGGCGGAGAAGCTAGTGCAGATCCATGGACTCAAACAAAACAAAATATATACTCCTGGTAAATAATTCTGATATGTAGGATTTTCCCAGAAGGTTACTGTCCTGGGGATTAAAAAAAAAAAAAAAAAATGAAAGGGCAAAGCATAGCCAGTGCTGCTGTCTTACCTTCTGATTTGAGGAACTCACTTTTCATAAGGTGCTTTTGGCACAGGGAGGGGCCAAAGTGGAAAAATAATAGAGTCTTCCTGAAGGCTATTTTAAACCCCAGTAACCTAAGAGGTAGGAGTGAAAAAACCTGATGTAACGTAACAGAAAATTTATGTAAAAGCCACACCACAGAGCTGTAAGCCCTTTATTTCAGATCGTAAGAAATTAAAAGTGGTTATAAAGAAGAGAAGGTTAATTAGGATTTCTGGTTGGGAGAACTACAATCAGTATCAGCTGTCAAAAAGATACCTTTCTATCATACGTATAATCCAAATCATTAAAATTTGAAAGTTAGAAGTTGAGTAATTCCATAAAGACTTAATGCATACCTTACATACCTTTCTCACACCCTAAAGCCAACCTCCCTGCCTCCCTCCCTCCCTCCCTCCCTCCCTTCCTTAAATATTGATTGAGAGCCAACTATGTGTCAGACCTTGTTCCAGGTGCTTGAGACATAGTGGTAAACAAAATAGGCATAATCCCTGCCACAGACTGCTTCCATCCAGCTTTAGTGTGTGGGCTTCCTAACACCTCCCTTGGTTACTTAGCAGCCTTTGGGTGCATACTTTCTGATTCCTGGCTGTGTTCCTTTTGACCTTCCTGATTGTCCCCGCCCCCTGCATCAGACTCACACCTGGATGAATGGAGACAGTCTATCTCCGATGGCAACAGGCGAAAAGGCTGTAACTGTCCTCTAAGTTAATGTTCCTAAAAGTTAATTTTCAGAGTCACTTGAGTTAACTTTCTACTTTCAAAAGAATGATATATTAGAAGAACAAATGCCAACAAACCATACTTAGAATTTCTTAGGTATATATTCAGTATGGTGGGCTTGATGAACTTTTCAGCTATTTTTACCTAGAGTTTTTTTTTTTTCTTTTCTTTTTTTCCCCCTTTCATGGGAACAAAAAGAAATACCTAGAGTTTTATGTCAGAAGAAATATATCCTATTTCATCAAAAACCTATCTAAGAAAATGAAAATAAAGCTAACATTTTTGCAAAAACATCTGTGCCTTAGAATTAAAGCTCATTTTCCATCTTGGATCTTGTACTGTAGTCCAAAAAAGTAGTTTAGATCTAAAATTGTATTTTTTACTGGGTGAGGCAATTTCAGAATTAGACATATATGACTGAATTAGTTCAAAAGAATAATTCTAGGCCGGGCATGATGGCACATGCAATGGTGGCACATGCCTGTAATCCCAGAATTTTGGAGGCTAAGGCGGGAGGATCACTTGAGGCCAGAAGTTCAAGACCAGCCTTGGCAACATAGCAAGATCCTGTCTCTACAAAAAATTATTTCAAAGAACTTAGGCGTGATGGTTGACACCAGCAGTCTCAACTACTTGGGAGGCTGAGGCAAGAGGATCACTTTAGCCCAGGAGTTGGAGGCTGCAAAATAATAATAATAATAATAAGATAAATAGGGAAATAAATAAAAATTTAAAACCCCCAAAGAAAAATTTCTGTCTACGTTTAGCTTTGGGGTTATGATTCTTCATTATTAATTAACTAGGTAACTGTATTTGTTCTCACACTGTTATAAATAACTACCTAAGACTGGGTAATTTATGAAGAAAAGAGGCTTAATTGACTCACAGTTCTGCAGGCTTAACAGGAAGCATGGCCAAGAGGCCTCAGGAAAGTTACAATCACGGCGGAAGGCAAAGGGGAAGCAAGCACATCTTACTATGGCGGAGCAGGAGAGAGCGAGCGCGAAATGGGGAGGTGCCACACACTTTTAAACCATCAGATCTCATGAGAACTCACTCACTATCATGAGAACAGCAAGGGGGAAATTCACCCCCATGACCCAATCACCTCCCACCAGGCCCCTCCTCCAATTAGACATGAGATTTGGGCAGGGACACAAATTCAGACCATATCAGTAACTAAGCAAACATTTTATAGGGGTTTTTAAATATGAGTAAGACATAGTTCTTTTGAATCTAGTATAGATAATTAATATACAAGAAATGGGCTGGGTGCAGTGGCTCATGCCTGTAATCCCAGCAATTTGGAAGGCCGAGTCAGGCACATCACAAGGTCAAGAGATCAAGACCATCCTGGCCAACATGGTGAAACTCCATCACTACTAAAAATACAAAAAACAAGCTGGGTGTGGTGGCATGTGCCTGTAGTCGCAGCTACTCAGGAAGCTGAGGCAGGAGAATTCCTTGAACCGGGAGGCAGAGGTTGCAATGAGCTGAGATCATACCACTGCACTCCAGCCTGGTGACAGAGTCTTAAAAAAAAGAAAAAAAAAAGAAATGATGAAACATGATTAAGTGCTATAAAAGCCGAATTGATCAGAACTGGATCAAATGCTATGACGCTCAGAGGAGAGCATGCCTAACTCTGCTTTAGGAAGATGACATGTAAAGACGTCTTAAAGGATGATAGGACTCTGTGAGCAGAGAAGCTGTTGGAAGGTATTTCATGAACAATATTAACAAGTCAAGAATATAGGAAAGAATGAAGCCTGTTAAGGAAGTAACAGGTACTTCTGTACAGCTGAGGCATATGATTGTGAAGGCAGGCAGAGGAAGATAAGATGAAAATGGTAGGTAGGGGCCAATTATGAGGGGCCTTATATGGTGTGACAGGACTTTATAATTCATCCTGTAGGCACTGAGGAGCCATTGAAAGTTTTTGAGCAGGGAATTATCTGTACAGATAGGATTAGTTTAGAAAGATACTCTTTTCAGTTACAGTAGTTTGGTAAAATGCAGTAAAAGCCTGAATGAAGACAGTGATCATCAGGAGGGGAAGTGAGGGTATCTACTCATGAGACATTACTCATGAGACATTTCAGATGTAGAACTGGTATGGCTTAAGTTGAGAGTGGCGGGTAGGAAGAGGAAGGAAGGCGTTTAGTATGACTCAGATTTTTTGGTTGGAGAACAGATGGATGCTCATGCTATCAACTACCTTTGTACAGAATGAAGGGGAAAGGTGGATTTTGGTGGTGGATAAAATAGTGAATTTGCTTTTGCACGTGCTGAATTTGAGATACATGTGGGGATATTTAGGTAGAGGTGATTCCAGAGCTTAGGAGAGGGGTGGAGACTAGAGATCAAGATTTGGATGTTTACCTTGGAGAGGATACACACTCAGCAGAAGAGATAAACAAGGACAAAATCCTATAAAACAAGTAAATCTCAGTATCTTATAAGAAGTAGAAGAGGAGGAAAGCCAGCAAAGGGGGCCAAGGAGGACGAAATTGGAGAACCAAGAGTGGTATCATGTATACAAGGAAAAGAAAGGGCATGGCTGGCAGAAGTTATAGGGAGGTCATGAGAAATAATATTTGCAAAGTATCCATTGACTTGGCAATCATGAGATGACAGTGTCCTGACTCAGATGAGTGGTCTGAAAGACAGATTGCAGAGAGGCAGCAGACAAATGGGAGGGGAAAATCCGGAGGCAGGTAAGACAGCCTTCTTTTTAAGAAATGTGTATTTTTTAAAAAATGGAGGGAGGTGGTTGGAATTACTGTTAAATTGTGCAGGAGACGGCAGGCTGATGCAGTGAAGCTCATGTCTTGTTAATTTTCATCGTTCAGCAGTGGTGGACATTTGAAAGCATATAACTCATGCTTACTGAGTGAATCTTTAGAATATTCTTATCTTATCTATGTCCTATTTATCAGTGAAGCTTGTTGTTGTCTCTCTTTGGCTTTGTCATCTTTATTCTCTATGCTATTTATCCTTTTTCTGACTTGTGAACCTTATATTGCTCCTACATCTGTTCTAGTTGAATAGATCCTGTGCTTCCTTCAAGCTAGATATAATCATATTCCTCTGAAATGTCATATATGGGCTCATTAGAGAGGAAAAGCTTTCTGTGAGTCATTCAGTCTGATGCCCTTGTATAAGACCCTATTTCATTTAAATGATAACTTCTAGTGAAGATGGTTCTCTTTTCAAAATATTTAACACTTGTAGGTATTTGTAATCATGTAAAAATGGCATAACTGGAGGAGATAGGCAAATATATCAGTTAATTCTTGTACTGCTATAAAGAAATACCTGAGACTGGGTAATTTATAAAGAAAAGAGGTTTAATTGGCCCATGGTTCTACAGGCTGTACAGAAGTATGGCTGGGGAGGCCTCAGGAAACTTACAATCACGGTGGAAGGCAAAGGGGAAGCAGTCATGTCTTACAAGGCTGGAGCAGGAGTAAAAGGGAGAATGGAGGGAGGTGCTACACACTTTCAAACAACCAGATTTCATGATAGCTCACTCACTATCATGAGGACAGCACCCAGGGGAATGGTGTTAAACCATACATTAAGGATCCACCCCCATGATCCAATCACCTCCCAATAGGCCCCACCTCCAACATTGGGGAATACAATTCAACATGAGATTTGGGTGGGGACACAGATCCAAATCATATCAGCAAATATTGCTCCAGTATGTCCTAAAATATAAGGGGGATGAAAACTTTAGGAAACCCTCTGAGGAAGAGAATTAGTTATTATATGTGTCCTGCAGAAAATCAAAAGCTTGTCCACAGTGTTATTTAGAAAGCTAACTGTTCTTATTTTGAGCATTGAACTTACACTTTTAGAGAACACTTTGAGAGAAATACTTTCAGAAAATTGTACTGATTAATATGTTAGTAACTACTTAATTGTCTGCAGTAATATTATTACATTGGGTACAACTAAAGGCTTCATCCAGAAGGTTCTATTTTAGGGTACTGAGAATCAGATAATTATTTGTGAGTGTGTATATATCCTTATCGTAATCACCACTTTCTCCCACCCCAACTGTCTTTTCTCCTCTAGGTGATATCCCAATTGTTCCACTTAATTTTGTCATGATATCCCTGGAGGGTCCATTTAACAGAGATGTAGTGGAAGGATGTGTGAAGGAGACGTTGCTTTTTTTATCGCGATCCATTTCCATGAAACAAAATGTGGAGTTTACATTCAAAGGAATTGGGGTCCTCATGATCAGAGACAACAAAGTGAAGATGAGGTTTTATAAAGACTTCCTTTGTACCATGGATGGAAGTGGGGCTTTGGCAAAGGCCCTAGCAAACGTAAATTAATATTTTCCTTCTCCTAAGTCTTCTCCTAATTGTAGTTCTGATTTATCTATAGGTGTGTTGTAATTAAGAAAAATGAAGATTGACATATTTGGGTGACAGTTACCTGAAGTACATGGAAGTGCTTGTTTATACTTGATTAACTCTTTGACAAAAAGATTAGGAAGGCAAACGAACATTAAGAGTCAAAGTCAACTGAGGGATATAAATAGTAATGGAAACTCTTCAAATTCTGAACATTTTATGGTATCTTATAGGTTTTTTGTTTGTTCGTTTTTTGAGACAGAGTCTCACTCCATCACCCAGGTTGGAGTGCAGTGGCATGATGTTGGCTCACTGCAACCTCCATCTCCTGGGTTTGAGTGATTCTCCTCCCTCAGCTTCTCAGTACCTGGAATTACAGGTGCGCGCCACCATGCCCAGCTAATTTTTGTATTTTCAGTAGAGATGGAGTTTCACCATGTTGGCCAGGATGGTCTTGAACTCCTGGTCTCAAGTGATCTGCCCGCCCTGACCTCACAAAGTGCTGAGATTACAGGCATGAGCCTCCGTGCCCAGCCTATAATTTAAAAACGTCTTCCACATGTATTATTTCATTTGAGTCTCGAAATATACAAGCAGCATTATTATCATCCTAATTTTACAAGTGAGAAAAGTAGGGGCTCAGAGAGGCTATGTGGGAATCCCAAGGTGAACTAGAACTGGAATTCAAGCCCAGACTTCCTAACCACTCAGTTTTTGCTAGTTCTACTATTTTACTTTTTTAATGTTGGTTCGACTATTTTATTTTAATGAAAGTCTGTAACAAAATTTAATTTGAGTCATGGAGTTTTTGAATCTTTAGCTTTTAATATGGCATGTTGTAGAAGAAATTTCCTAATTGGCATCATTATTGTCAACCATTAAGTAGCTGGTGTGACCTTCATGCTAAGCTGGATACAGCAGTTTAAACAAATGACATAGTCAATCTACAGGATTTACTGAATACTTAGTGTGCCTCAGGTACTCCTCTGGGAACTAACAAAGTAGACATGAATGAATTGAATTATTATGGAATGTGATATAATCCTATATCCCATAAAGCCAAACCCTTCTTTTTTTAATGAAAAGGCTATTGTATCATCTCGGTCTACCCATTTCTCCTTTTATGAAGCTTTGGGATAGGGATTTATGAAATGGAGTTGTGCATAATGAAACTCCTGGGGTTTTTTTTACACAATCTGGTTTCATACAGGATTGCTAAAAGGATTGCCAACCCTGTGTGTGGAAAGTGGGAAATAAATGCAGGAAAAACCCTTGCTTTTCCATGAAAATGCAAGGCAAGGTTTACAAGTCTATAAGCAAGGCCAAAGTGGCTAGCTCATCTCTAACCCTCAGGGATTCTGCAGAACTTTGTAGCTTCACTATGTGTTTAAAAGAGAAGATAGCATTTTCCTTGACCTGCTGAACTCTAAAGCACATCTTTTAAAGAATGGAAATTTTCCAAAAGAACTAGTCCTGAGAGATACTCTGAAAAAAGGGTGTGGAGGTCAAAGCTGACTGAAAACTGCTGATTGAATCAATAGCCCTCACGGACAGAGGGACAGAGCACATCAGCATGTTAAAGGAGCTGAGAAGTCCGGTTGGAAAGCAGTCAGTTTAACTGCCTGGATGTATTTAATCATGGAATTCTAGGTTAATCCAATATCTCATTAGCTCTGTAAGACACATTTTGGAAAACTGCTGTAAAGTGGTGTCAGTGAAAGTTTATTCCCAAATGACCCGTAACTTAAAACATCTTGTAGAGTAGTCCCCTTGGAAAGCTGTGTGCTTATTTCAATGATGCTGCTTTTATTAGAAATATTTTCTATACTTCTTTGTGAGAATTCCCTTCAAAGGCTTTTGTAAGGGGTAGTACTCATGCAAAAATAATCATTTTATATATTATTCTACAGTAAAAATGTGACAATGTGACTATTATGTTTATAGTTATATGAGAATTAAAATAGCCATTTGTTCAGTATTTACTATGGGCTAGCTACTTACACAGAGGACCTCATGGAAATGCTATTAGATCCTTTTATTATCCCCAGAAACCTAGTGCCTAAGGCCACATACCTGTTAGCAGTGTGGGGATTTGAACATGAGCCCACCTGACTCGAAACCTTTTCTCTTAATTGCCTAATTTTAGTTATTTGGGTCAAGAGTGGAATTAGACAGCTTGCTCACTTTCCATGTATTTTTACAAAGTCTGCTATCTTCTTAAAGATATCTAAAAGAATCTGTCAACCCTGAAGGCAATTCCCAAAAAGGAAATGGTTTGAGAAAAGGCAACCCCAAAATAATTGCTGTGCAGTTACCCAGGGTGATTACTTTGATGAATGAGATCATTCCTCATTGGATTTTTAAGCTCTGGACTTTTAAGCGCTAAACATAAACAACAAGAAAAGTATTGTTGTAGCCTTGCCTGTGAGACAGCCTGCAGTTTTTAATTTGTCTGAGTCCTGGCCGGCAGCCTATATGTAACCTTGCTCTGTCGCTGTCCTCTAGAGGCCTGGCACTGTGGACTCGGTGTTGTCCAGCAGAGAGGCCTTGAGGAAGTGGCCCAGCAGTGTGCTTGCGTTTCCAAGGTAAGTGCTTTGCTTCATGGGTTCCTCCAGGCACTAGCACTCCTTGCTGATCTGCTGATCTCATTGGGCGGTATTTCTCAATGTTTTGTAGCTCATGCTCCTTTTAATGTATTCTCTGTCTCTCCCTCTCTAAATGCACCAACAAAGAAGAGTTTATTGCATACGCTTTCTGTAGTTAAGTTAAATAACAATGGATATTTATTCTTTTTTATCCTCCCTCACTGAGACGGAGTATTGCTGTGTCACCCAGGCTGGAGTGCAGTGGCATGATCTCTGCTCACTGAAGCCTCTGTCTCCTGGGTTCAAGCAATTCTCTCCTGCCTCAGCCTTTCGAGTAGCTGAGATTACAGGCGCACGACACCATGCCTGGCTAATTTTTGTACTTTTAGTAGAGATGGGGTTTCACCATATTGGCCAGGCTGGTCTCAAACTCCTGATCTCAAGTGATCCATCTGCCTCGACCTCCCAAAGTGCTGGGATTATAGGCATGAGCCACCTTGCCCAGCCCATTTATAAAACTACCCTTGGCTCCTGGAAATTCTGATACTACCTTCCATCAACCTTAGTCCCTGCAGTATTAGTAAAACTCTTCTCACCTGCTGAGCTTTCCCCTACTTTGTAGTACTTCTTCTGCCCTAGCTGCTGCTTCTTCCTTCAGTTCAGCCCATTTCCTGTCAGAGCTTGGATTTTTACCACTAAACGAGTTAAACAGGTAAGTTAGAATAAGGAAACAGCTTTACTCCATGAGCACAGTGGTTGTTACTGGTGGTTGCATATTACTTCATTTAATCTTCACGACATTCATGTGACATATGTATTAAAATTCTCCATTTTATCACGATACAAAATTAATTTTAATTTTTTTCTTTTACATGAATGAAGCAACATGGTGCACTATTGAGAACACTGGAGTAGGAGTCAGGAGACTTCAGTTTTATTTCCAGTTTGGCCATCACTTATTCATTGTGTGCCCTTAATTATGTTAATAATCTTAATTGCTGTGCCATTAACCACTGTGCATTTCAGGTGGAGGAAGTTTGGGGAATAACAACTAGCTTCCTAAAGCATTCTTACTTTAGGAAGTATGAGTACAGTATAAAAGTATGAGAATTTCTCAGATGTTTTGAGTGTGACATTCTCTTGTGCTTGTTGCTTTGGAACAACCCCCTCCTGGAAGAGCTGTTTGACAAATACCTCAGAAGATTCAGTGTGAAGTCAAGAGTAAGCCTTAGAGGTTGTTTTCCAGCCATCTCATCTTGCACATGAAATGGCCATGCAACTAATAAGCAGCCAAGCTTATAGAAATAAGACTGTGGCTCCTGGTCCAGTGTTCTTTCCATTGCACCATATTACCTTACACTAAAAATAAATCAGCAGTTTGAAAATAATTTTGATTGTTTTGGAAGGCAAATGTGGCTGTTCCTTTGACATATTTTGGCTTAGGCACTCCAGGAGGGAAATAATTGTAGTGGGTCAAAGAACAGAGATGGAGGCTCCATCAAGTCAAGGGCCTAGAAATGGACAAGGGGACATAAATACTCAAAACAACTGTTCATGTTTTATTTATGTGACATTTGGCCCCGAATTGACTGAAGGTACTCCCAACCCCACTCCCTACTCCAACCTAGTACACCATACCTGAGACTAAAGAAATCCTACAACTACACACACCAACTGAACAACCCCCTTCCTCCCTGCTGCAAATTGTAGCTGTGCAAGTCCTTCACTTTTGCCTGGGGAAAAGTGGCAAAGGAGGGAGGAGACAAATGGTTATTTTGGGGCATACTCTACCAGACTATGAATCTTTTGCCTTCAAGCTATCCAACAACCTTTTCTCACTGTATCACCCCAGATCATCTAGTTATAGAACTAGGATATAAAAATTCAAATGGAAACAAAACCCAATAACCTAAATAAAGGACTTTAAGGCAATTTCTTTATATGCAAGCTGCTTTTGAGACTACGGTATAGAGGGGAAGGTCTTGGTCAGCTCCCAGAAAACCTTGGAAAAAATTAATCTATGATATGTACTCAGCACATCAGAGCACTCACTCCTTGAAGAAAGTGGGCTTATTTCAGACTCAGCCAGCTGGCTGGGTTGCTTCCAAGACTTGAAAGTTCACACAGTCACCTGTTCAGGTTCAGTGCAGCAGAAAAACATATTGGCTCATTCCTAGGATTGAGCTCAAGCAGACGGAAAACAAACTGCCTATGGAGACCCTTGTAGAAGAATGTGGAGAGAATAGAGAAAGGAAGTGCAAGTTAAAAGACCAGTCAGACAAAGAAGAAGGCATCAGAGGTAGGCCAATGATTTCTGAATACAATCTGTCACTCTTTACTGCTATGAGCCCAGTCATATTGCTTAGCCAAGGGTAAATAAAGTTAAATTTACAAATAATCACTATATTATTATTATTATTACTTTTTTTTTTTTTTTTTGAGATGGAGTCTCACTGTTGCCCAGGCTGGAGTGCAGTGGCATAATCTCAGCTCACTGCAACTTCCACCTCCCAGGTTCAAGCGACTCTCCTGCCTCAGCCTCCCGAGTAGCTGGGATTAATGTCATGTGCCACCATGCCTGGCTAATTTTTTTAGTTTTTGTATAGATGGGGTTTCACCATATTGGCCAGGCTGGTCTCGAACTCCTGACCTGAAGTGATCCGCCCATCTAGGCCATCCAAAGTGCTGGGATTACAGGCGTGAACCACTGCACCCAGCCACAAATAATCACTATATTATTTCTAACAAATACATTCTAGTCCTAGAATCCTGCATCTGACCTTAACTATGAGCTTACTTACTTTATGGACCTCAGGTCCTATGACTCTCAGGCTCTTAGATCATCATCTCTTTGCTGGCTCCCCATTGCTCAAAGGGGCCAAAACTCAGATGACTATAGGGTCCAGGCAGGTAACGCAAATGCAGGAAGTGATCTGGATATAAGTGGGTTGGAGACATGTTAGCTTACTTAACATTTCTTATGAAAAACGAAGAGTGGCAGTTTTATCACTCTGATGTTTGTAGAAAAAAGCTGGATTCTTATACCTATGTCTGCACTAATCTGTTGTGATAGTTGTTTTGGTGGAAGCAAATGAAGAACATCCTAGGACTCCAAAGATTTTTTGTTTTTTTTAACCAAAGACTTTTTATTTTCTTTTTGAGATGGAGTCTCGCTCTGTCACCCAGGCTGGAGTTCAGTGGCACAATCTGGGCTCACTGCAACCTCCGCCTCCTGGGTTCAAGCGATTCTCCTGCATCATCCTCCCCCTAAGTAGCTGGGACTAAAGATGTGCGCCACCATGCCCAGCTAATTTTTGTATTTTTAGTATAGATGGGGTTTCACCATATTGGCCAGGCTGGTCTCAAACTCTTGACCTCAGGTGATCTGCCTGCCTTGGCCTCCCAGAGTGCTACAATTACAGGTGGGAGCCACCAAACACAGCCACAGACATTTTCAAAGGGTCCTAGGGACCCCAAAAAGTATGGCTTGCCAGGCCACACTTTGAGGACTGTTCCTCTAGGAGATTGTTGCTTTGTGGAAATGTGGCCCAAGTGGTATCAAATCTTCTAATTTTTCTAATTTTAGTATATGTGCTACCAAAGTGAGCACAATCTTCTGATTTTTCAAAAGAAGCAGAGATCCTGACTTTAATGTGAAATCTATTGGTTGTTAAATGTTGACTTGTTGAAACAAAAAATGCTAATTAGGCCTAACAAAACATACCAATGGGTGAACACTGGCTTGTGGATGTCTGTTTTCTATGTGTGGCCTACAGGATTGCGTATCAACTTCTAGCCTAATATTCACATGCTTTCTCATTTCTATAGACTCATCCCCCACTGTGCCCTACACAGACCCCCTTCTTTGGGCAAAATTATCTATTCATGTTTTTTTTTCTTTGAGGTGGGGTCTTGCTCTGTCACCCAGGGAGGAGTGCATTGACACAGACTTGGCTCACTGCAGCCTCAACCTCCTGGGCTCAGGTGATCCTCCCACTTCAGCCTCCTGAGTAGCTAGGACCACAGGTGTGCATCACCATGCCTAGCTAATTTTTGTACTTTTTGTAGAGACAGGGTTTTGCCATGTTGCCTAGGCTGGTTTTGAACTCCTGAGCTCAAATGATCTGCCCACCTTGGCCTCCCAAAGTGCTGGGATTACAGGCGTGAGCCACTATGCTTGGCCTATTCATGCTCTTCTAACATGCCTGCCCTTCCCCAGTTTCATCCTTTGTTCATTTTTCTTTCCTGCAGCCTGAACTGTCCTTCCTTTTATTTCAATCTATCTCCATCCTACTCACCTTTTAGTACCCTTTTCACATCTCGCTTCCTCCAGGAAAACTTACCACTGAATTCTGGAGTGGCTTCTCTCCTCTGAACATGTCAGATCCTTAAAGACTACAACATTTGGCTGGGCACAGTGGCTCACGCCTGTAATCCTAGCACTTTGGCAGGCTGAGGTGGGTGGATCACCTGAGATCAGGAGTTTGAAGCCAGCCTGGCCAACATGGCAAAACCCCGTCTCTACTACAAAAAAAAAAAAAAGTAAAAAAAAAAAGTTAGTTGGGAGTAGTGGCATGCACCTGTTATCCCAGCTACTCAGGAGGCTGAGATGGGAGAATTGCTTGAACCTGGGAGGCACAAGTTGCAATGACCTGAGATTGGGTTACTGCACTCCAGCCTGGTGACAGAGTAAGACTCCATCTCAAAAAAAAAAAAAAAAAAGATTGTAACATTTATTTTTGACTTACACATTTTGCATCGTTGTCCTAAGTTGTTATTTAGTAAATGTGTATTACAAAGCACTTAGCACTGTTAGCACATAAGATGACCTCCAAATGGAAGCTCTCACTTTTTTGTTTATATCTTATTTTTCTCTTCAACTATATCTACTGAAAGATCTTTACAGGCAAAATGTCTAAATCTACAGATATCAAAGTTGTAAAACTGCACTGTTCATTTTTCATAAGAAATGTTAACTAAACTAACATGTCTCCTGGTCGTGTTATATCCAGCCCACTTCTTGCATTTATGTTACTTGCCCCTTTTTGTCCTCTAAATACTTAGCACAGTGCTTTCTTTGCAAATATACAGCAAAAACATTTTTTTACATCACAATAGAACAAGGGGTGATTATTTAAAGATAAGGGAGTGTATCTTATATGAAAATTTCCCTTGGTAAAAACTACACGGTTAGTGGTTTGAGAGTTGAAAGGAAACTCGTTTTCATTCATTCTTTATTCTACAGATATCTCATCACCCAAGAGACTTCGAGATAGACAAGCTTTGTTCCCTGCCAAAGTGACAAATGTCAGCTTGCTGGAAAAGACTGACCGAAGTGAGAGTGGTGAGAAGATTATGACCTCTGAAAGGTAATGCACTGACTTTTTTTTTTTTTTTTCTGTTGTACTTTACTAAATATATTTTTGAGTCATTGCTTAATGCAGGGAACTGTAATTGTTCATTAATTTATTTATCCAGTGTTCTTGACAGCTTTCTACATGCAACATGATGGGAATAATAAAGGTGACCAAGGTTCACCATCTAGTGGGGAAGTCAGACATATGCAGAGGGATAAATTATGATTCAGCAGAATATATGTTATGACGCAGGCGGAAACAAAATAGCACAGAGTATTTTGTAGATTCGGGCTTCCCAAATCTACAAAACTTTCCTGTTTTCTGAGTGCTTGGATATTATGATGTGACACAGTGTTATATTTACATCAAATTGGAAAGTAGTTTTGCCAAACATAGCCAGCACTCCATTAGTTCTCAATAAACATTACTTGAATGAATGAGTGTATTACAATTTATCATGGTCGTTTTCTTCTTGTGATGGTATGTCAAAAGATTTCTATAATATTTTATCCTTGTGTCTTTGAGTAGGATACTTTTTAAGACCTCAAATCAGTCAACCATATTTAACCATGCTCATTCATTAAGTGTTTACTGAGCACCTATGTACTTTGCATTGTGCCACCAACCTTTAATTTATTAATGTGTCAAAATTTATCAGCTATCATATGTGCAATTTATGTACTTTGTGGATTACTAAAGTCATGTTTAAAACTCTAGAAATGCTTGTTTTGGGTAATATCACTGTTATGAAAGATAATTGAGAATTAGATGTATAGTCCTTTAATTCAATACAACAAACATTGAGTATTACCATGTGCCAGGTACTGTTCTAGGCACTGAAGATTCAGAGTTACAGACATATTAACCTGCTTTTATAAAACTTACAGTCTTGTAGGAAGACTGAAATTAAAAAAACAGTGCATGTGATGAAGATAACAAAAGTATAGAGGCTGCAAAAGGAGAGCGTAATTGTTGGAAGTTGTTGGTAAAGGTTTCCTATAGAAGTTGACCCAAAAATGTTGTTTCCTGTAGAAGTTAACCAAAAAATAGGCCAGGTGCAGTGGCTCATGCCTGTAATCCCAGCACTATGGGAGGCTGAGGAGGGCGGATCACGAGGTCAGGAGATTGAGACCATCCTGGCTAATACGGTGAAACCCCATCTCTACTAAAAATACAAAAAATTAGTCGGGTGTGGTGGCAGGCACCTGTATTCTCAGCCACTTGGGAGGCTGAGGCAGGAGAATGGCGTGAACCTGGGAGGCAGAGCTTGCAGTGAGCCGAGACTGCGCCACTGCACTCCAGCCTGGGCGACAGAGCAAGACTCTGTCTCAAAAAAAAAAACAAAAAAAGTTAAACAAAAAATATTTTTTGTGCGATTACTAAAACAATACATGTTTATCATAGAAATTTTGGGGAAACCAAAAAAGCAAGAGTTACAAAAAATCACCCATAATCCCTCTACATAGAGGAAACTTTGTATTAACCTTATGGTACATGTCGTTTATTTCAATGCATATACAATATATACAGTACTTACACTTGGAATATACATACTTTTTAAATAAAATTAGATCATATTATATGAATTTTTGTTACATTTAATAAGTGATTTCCCCATGATATTAAATATTCCAAAACCTTAACAAATAATTGCACATCATCTTAATGAAAGATTAAACCTTTTGTTTAACCAATCTGCTATTGGATATTTAGATGGCTTCCAGTTTTTAAGTACTATAAATAATGTTGTGAAAATATAATTAAACATAATTCCTTGCATACATCTGGATATTCCATAGGATAAAACTTTAAATTTCAGAGATAAAAGGTGAGTCCATTTTCATGCTTTTGATACACATTGCCAATTATCTTCTTCATGATTGTAGCAAATGATCCTGTCAGCAACAGTAATATGACAGAGTGCTATCTTTTCTACAGTTTTGCTAATACTTTAGCAAAGTGAAATGATGGTATTCATTATTGTTTTTAACCTGTGTTTGTTTGACTTCTAGTGGGTTTTTTCTTGTTTTGTTTTTGAGACAGCATCTCACTTTGTCACCAACGCTAAAGAACAGTGGCATGATCATGGCTCACTGCAGCTCAACCTGCTGGGCTCAAGTGATTTTACTGCCTCAGACCCCCAAGTAGCTGGGACTATAGGTGTACACCACCACACCAGCTAATTTTTTTGATTTTTTTTTTTTTTAAGAGATGGGGTCTTAGTATGTTGTGTAGGCTGGTCGCTGGTCTAGAACTCCTGGCCTCAAGCAATTCTCCCACTTAGGTCTCTCAAAGTGCTGGGATTACAGGCGTGAGCCAACACACCTGGCCTGACATGAGGAGGCCTGCATTTATTTTTACCTTGTTTCTTAGCCATTTGTAGTTCTTTTACAAATTTCCTGCTTGAATCCTGTGTCCTTTTTCAGCTGGGAGCTTTAATTTTTCTTAAAAACAAGTGGTATTTCTTATAAAGAGAACTTCATATATCATAGGTATGAATAGTTTTCTGATGTGTATGTTTTAAACATTTTCCTAATTCTTTTTTTCTTTTTAATTTTGTTTCTGCACCATTTAGTGTACAGAAGTTTAAAATATATATTTTCTGATTTACCAACCTGTCCAAGTCCCCAAACACCATGTTTGGGAATGTCAGTCAATAATTACATTTTCTTTTTGAAGAAAAATATTCTTTTAGAAGAGTAAAGAATGATCTAGAGGGATAAGATTAGCAGCAGGGGAAGGGGTGTAATAAAATGGAAAAGTGTGCACAATTTAGCAGATCAAGGCAGTAGTCTAGGCAATCTGTTTCCAACAAATGACCCTAAGGCCTCAGAGGGCCTTAAGAGCACATCAAAAACTGAGAGTGAGGTCATATGGGTGGGACTCTGGGCTCTATGTCCTCACTTCCACTGGAGGATGTGTGCTGCTTTTCTGTTTTATATATTGGGGTTTGAGTAAGATTTGTTTAAACTAAGAAGGATAGTACTTTCATTGTTTAACAGTTGAGTATAACTCATCTAGGGAAAGGTAATAAGGGTATGAAACAAAGATCAGACGGAAAGCTTTAGCTTTGACTGTTGGGGATTAGTTAAGGGAGGTTAAGGAGGAGATGTCAAAGATGACCCCAGATTTTGGCTTAGGTAACTGGGAGAAGATGGCATTATTCAAAATAGTGACTACTATAGGAAGTGCAAATTTGGCTGGTGCTGAAGGGCATGTAGTGGTTAGTGATTCTGTAAAATTTTCACTCCAAGTTAGAGGATTAAAAAAAATACAAGTGAATTGTCTTGGATCATAAGAATCCAGATTGAGACATATTTCTTATTGCTTCCTCATGTCAGTTGCATCTAACAGGTTATTTAAATCAAACTTTTAGGGAATCAGCATTCGCTCAACCCCAGATTTTGAGGCCTAAGAGAAGTTATTAAAAAATAAAGGGTTCTACCCCGTCTCTACTAAAAATACAAAAAAAAAACTAGCCGGGCGTGGTGGCGGGCGCCTGTAGTCTCAGCTACTTGGGAGGCTGAGGCGGGAGAATGGCGTGAACCCGGGAGGCGGAGCTTGCAGTGAGCCGAGATCACGCCACTGCACTCCAGCCTGGGAGACACAGCGAGACTCCGTCTCAAAAAAATAAAATAAAATAAAATAAAAAAAATAAAGGGTTCTGCATCTAGCAATATGGTGTTCTAAATAATCTGAAAAGGTCCTCTACTGAGAGCCAAATCTAGTCCACCACATGTTTTTATAAATAGTTTCACTGAAACACTGCTATGCCCCTCCATTTGCATATTATCTGCACCTGCTACTTGCGTCAGGGACTGTGTGGCCCTCAAAGCCTAAAATATTCACTCTCTGGCCCTTTTCATAAAAAGTTTGCCAACCCCTGCTCTAAAGGATCTTATTTTCATCTCAGGCTCCTGACTTCTGACAGATAGAGTTGGGCTAAAAATGAGGTCAGAATCCAAAATTACAAAGACCACGTGGGAATAAGCTGCCACATAATGAGAGCCATCAGAAACAAAAGACGGAAGAATTGAGCTCTCAAGGATTTTGGATCCTGACCATTATAAAATACAGAGTATAGAATAAGATGTTTTAAATCTTTACATGAATTAAAAGAATGGAAAGTATGAACAAGTTATAAGAAATTAGAAAACATGACCAGTGAGGTCAGAGTCGAGCATTTGCATTTTGGAATTGCAGTAAGGGAGTATAGACTTATACAATACTTAATTCATTGGTTATTCAGAAGACTCAAGTTGTATTACTTTTTCCAAATGAATAGAGGTTTTTAGTAGGGGCACTTTCTCATTTTATGCTGTGGTTCATTTAGTGTCAGTTATTTGGTACTTTGTAATTTGCTGAACCTTCTTTTCTAGCTTGAGTACTTTTACGGTAATTGTTTTATGTATACTTGAAGACACTGTATACTACTATGCCTTAGACGTAAATTTCTAGATATTTAGATATTAGCTAAACCTTGTTAAAATAAGTTATTAAAAGCTTTAAAATCCTTACTTTTTGAGAGAGATATTAAAAATCTTTAACCATGATGGTATATTTTTCAGTAATTATGTCAATTTTTGCTTCTTAAGCAATATTAAATTCTACACGTCTGGGATTTTTTGGTAGATAGTTCCTTTTATCATTATGAAATATTTTCCTTTGTCTCTACTAAAATCTTTTCCCTTCATTTCTGTAGTACATAATTAACAATGCAACATTTGATTAGTATTTTACCTGGAATAGCCTTTTAATGCCATTTTAAGAATTTTTGTGTGTGTTTTTATTATTTCATGTGTGTCTCTACTAAATAGCTTATATTTGGATGTTTTAAAACTCAATCTAGACTTTAATTTCAGTTGTAATTATTGGTATATTTGAACCTATCTTTACTGTCTTATTTTGTATTTCCTATTTACTGTGCATTTAACTTCATTATTACCCTTTTTCTGTTGGACTGATCACATTTCTTTAGTATGCTTTGAATTTCCTTTGACCACATTTCTTCAGTATGCTTTCAATTTCCTTCAAACTGCATCCCCTTCCAAACCTGTATTTTTGTTGTCTAGAACTTTTGTTCCAAATTGGTTTTAAGTGTTAAAAAATTTGTATTATTTTATGGTCAATGATTAATTTGGATTTGCCAACACGTTTACCAATTTCTTTGGTCACCATCATTTCCTCTTTTTTCTTTTTCTTTTCTTCCTTTTTATTTTTTTTCCCAGGCTGGAGCACAGTGGCACGATCTTGGCTCACTGCAACCTCTGCCTCCCGCACTCAACCAATTCTCCTGCCTCAGCCTCCCGAGTAGTTGGATTACAGGCGCACACCACCATGTCTCGTTATTTTTGTATTTTTAGTAGAGACAGGGTTTCACCATGTTGGCCAGGCTGGTCTCGAGCTCCTGACCTCAAGTGATCCTCCTGCCTTGGCCTCCCAAAGTGCTGGGATTACAGGCGTGGGCCACCACGCTTTGCCTGTTTCTTATATCCCTGTCCTTCCTCCTGGGTTCGTTTTTCTTCTTGCTAAAGTATATCCTGTAATGGTTCCCTATCTTTTCAGTACACTTGTTCTTTGTATTGCTTAAAATGATTCTTATTGTGTTATCGCTCTTGAATGCTGATTCTTGGTTCATAGTTATTTTCTTTTAGCATTTTAATGATATTGCTCCATTTTCTCCTGACAGTTGTCCTGATGCAACGTCTGAGTCAATCTGGTTGTCATTCTTTCTTGTAGCTTTTAAGAATTTTTCTTATTTCTTGATGTTCTGCATGATTGTTCTTAGGAGTCATGACTTTCTGGAAAATTCTTATCTGTTATTTTCTAGAATATTGTTCTTTGCCATTTCCTTTATCCTAAAAATTCAGCACTCCTATTCAATGCATGTTTGAGCGTCTGAATCTATTCTCTATTTCCCTACTTTTAAATGGTTTCATTCTTGGCCTGGCGAGGTGGCTCATGCCTGTAATACCAGCACTTTGGGAGGCCAAGGTGGGCAGACTATGAGGTCAGGAGTCTGAGACCAGTCTGACAAACATGGTGAAGCCCCGTGTCTACTAAAAATACAAAAATTAGCTGAGTGTGGTGGTATGCACCTGTAATCCCAGCTACTCCAGAGGCTGAGGCAGGAGAATCGCTTGAACTTGGGAGGCAGAGTTTGCAGTGAGCTGAGATCGCGCCATTGTACTTCAGCCTGGGTGACAGAGCGAGACTCTGTCTCAAAAATTAAAATAAATAGAGTTAAAAAATAAATATTTTCATTCTTCGAGCTGCTTTTTAGGTGATAATATCAGTCCTATTTTCTAATGAATACTAGTATTAATATTAATACTCACCCCTAATTCATGTCCCTCCACCACAATGACCACAGGCACCTTCCAACTGAAGGACTGCACTGGTTTGTTTGCTTGGAATGTCTTTTCTATCAGATATCTACACCGTTGTTCCCTTACTTCCTTCAGGTATTTACTCATATGTCACTTCCTTGGTAAGAACTTCCCTGGCCATTCTCTTTACAGTTTAACACTTCATTCCTCCAGCATTGCAAGGCATTTATCATCATGGAACATACTATAGAGTTCACTTATTTATCTTGTCACTGGGCTCTCTATCTCCATCAGAATGTTAATTCCATGAAGGCAGGGACTTTTCTATGTGTGTATTTTGTTCTTCATTGCTTCTCCTGTGCTTAGAACAGTGTACATGCTAAGCACTCAATACATTTCTGTGGAATGAATAAATTTCATCACCATTTCACACAATTGGTAACTGAGATTTTGTAAGATTACACAGCTGGTCTGATGTCAGTCATCTTGTAAGCAAGAAAGCTGGGATTCAAACCCACCTTTATCTGACACAAATTCAGATTCTGTGGTACATATTCTTAACCTCTACACATACAGCTGTTCTGAACTAAACCACTGAGATATTTTTCTTCATCTTATACTTGGCCTCTATAATTATTATTGCTCTTGAGGTCAGACTGTATTAAACATTAATTAATGTTGCATTGTTTTTACAGCTTATCATCTCCAAGTTGTCTGAAACATGACAGTGACATGAAGCCCCAAACATCTCCAGCTTGTCAGGATCATGATAAGGCAGGACAGGTACAGTGTTTCCAAACAAATAAGCCCCATCAAAATCTTATACTGATTTTTGTTTCTGAAAGAGAGTTCTGGGAATCTCTTGCTTAATTATATGAGTATGGCTGAAGTACTTAAGTACTCAGGCTCAAAACTGAACTGTGATAAATCTATCTACTAGTCAAGATGCACTGGTAAACAAAAAAAAAAATTGAGAAATCCCTTTCTAAGTTTCAGCTGCTTCTGATGAAGTGCGAGTTCAGAAGATCCTTTAGAGTATTTCTGGGGTCCACTCTGCAAATCTCATTTTGCTGTCATTAATATATCCATTAATAACAGGTTTCTTGATATACCTAGCCTTTGGAGAGCTTGTGAAGGGAATGTGAAAGCAAAAAGGTAAAATGTAAAAATTTATTTGTCCTGAAATTTGGGATTGTAGGAAATGTGCTATGTATGTTTGCAACGAGCACAACGAAATTCCCCGTTGTACTACGGTGAGGAAAGGAGGAGAGAGATAGAAGATGAGAGACTCATACAGCAGTATCAGATGTTGAAAGATCAGGAGGCTCTCTTCAGACACCAGGTAGTCCGACACCTCGATCAGTCTTTAATATGGGGCAGTAGAACATGATTATATAATGTAATTTATTATTATTTTTTATTGGCACAGGGTCTCACTCTGTCACCCAGGTTGAAATGCAGTGGCACAACCTCCGCTCACTGCAGCCTCGACCTACTTGGGCTCAGGTGATCCTTCTACCTCAGCCTCCAGATTAGCTGGGACTACAGGCACATGTCACTACACCTGGCTAATTTATGTATTTTTTGTAGAGATGGAGTTTCATCATGTTGCCCAGGGTGGTCTCCAACTCCTGGGTTCAAGCATTCCTCCTGCCTCTGCCTCCCAAAGTGCTGGGATTACAGGCATGACCCACTGAGCCCAGCCTATAATGTAATTTAAAAATGTTCCATCATATGTCTGTACTGTGACATATCTAATCATGTATTTACTGTTAGACTAAAACTTGTGTTGACGTTTTCACTAATAATAAACAACAATCAGATGAATATCCATGTAGTCGAATGTTTGCACATATCACTGATTTTCTTTAACCTAAGATCTGAATTTTAAAGGTGAAATTATTGGATTTATGTTTCTTTATTTCTGATAAAATACAACTCTGGTGAAGGCTTTTACCCTTCATATTCATGTCTTATTTCAAGCAAAGACAGAAAGGCACTTTTACACTTGCTGTATCCAGATTTATGTGGTTTCTAATAATTGACCCTACTGACTGCCCTTTCCTGCATTTGTGATGAGTTCTTCCATTCCTTAGATCCCTCTAGTGGTACCTAAAGGCCAAGAATAGGAAATAAAATACCTTTCCCAATCTACTTTTATAAATCTATAGAGATATCAGAAAGTACCACTGCCTCCAAAAGGCAGGTTTCTACCATGGCTGGATTATTTTAATGTAATAGAATTAAAATTTTTCAAGGCTCCACTTCAATATGTAATTAAAAATTTAATTTAAAACTTTTTTATATACAATAGCTGAAAAGTCTGGCTACTAGAGAACAGAATCAGAAAAATGCTGCCTATAATCTTGGAGTTGCTGAAGCTATAAGAAGCCACAAGAATGAGAAACCAGAATTTTATGTAAGTCTTTTTAAAATTTCTATTGCTAACACCTGGCCCATTGTGAGTCTTTGGATCCACTCCCTGTGTTGCAGGTTGTGCCTTTTTTTTTTTTTTTTTTTTGAGACGGAGTCTTGCTCCATCACCCAGGCTGGAGTGCAATGGTGCGGTCTCGGCTCACTGCAACCTCTGCCTCCCAGGTTCAAGCCATTCTCCTGCCTCAGCCTCCCGAGTAGCTGGGATTATAGGTGCCTGCCACCATGCCCCGCTAACTTTTGTATTTTTAGTAGCGACAGGGTTTCACCATGTTGGCCAGGCTGGTCTTGAACCCCTGGTCTCATGATCTGCCTGTCTTGGCTTCCCAAAGTGCTGGGATTACAAGTGTGAGCCACTGCGGCCGGCCAGTTGTGCCATTTTTTTTAAGCAGCGGAGTTGAAAAGTGGGTGGTGCAGTTTGAAGCTTTCTTCTAGGGCAGGCCTTGTCCGGTGTCTATAGCCACACCACTCACATTCACTGTACTGTTCCCACTAGTCACTGCAGTTCTTGTTAATTATGGTAATTCTCAACCAGGATGTGGGATGGGTGGAGAGGAGGGAGCAATATACTACTAAAGTCCAGCCCAAGGACCCAAGAGAACCAGCACTATCAGCATCGCCTGGGAGCTTGCTGGAAATGCTGAATCTAGGGCCCCACCCCAGACTCCCTGAATGGGCATCTATGGTGTAATAAGATCCCCAGGTGATTTGTATTTGCATTAATGTTTGGGAAACCCAGATTCAGATGGTGGTGAGCCAACTGCTTCACTGCTTGATTTAATGTTTTCAATCATCATGTGCCTACCTTTATTTCTGCCTGAATCTTTCTCTTTATATACCACCATCTAGGCAGTCGACACTCTGGACGTAAATCTAATAAAATATAATTCATTTATTCATCATCAAACATTTATTGAATTCCTCCATGCCGGCCACTGTGCTGGTGTCTAGGAATTCAAGGTTCCCTCTTCTGAAGAGGTCTCTAGTGGGAGAGACAGACACTTAAAGAGACAACTGTGTGGTATAACCAATGCGATGATAAATCTCTGAAAAAGGGCACTATACGAGCAAAAGAAGAGATTCATTAACTTAGACCAGAGATTTGGGAAGACTTTCTGGTATACAAGAGTTAGCTAGAGAAACCAAGGGAGGAAGAGCATTCCAGGCAGGGAAGCAGGGAAGGAAGGAGAGAGAGAGCATGGGGCTTCTGAAATTTAGGCATGATCGTTCTCTCTTCTTACATATAAGCTCCAGATTATATTTATCACTGCTGTGTATCTCTTCTTTGATTTATCTATACACATCTTAAATTTAAAAAGACCCAAACAGAACTTCTGATTCCCTCCTTAACTTGTTCCTTTCTGTCTTCTCATGTAAGTGGTATCACACACCAGCCATTTTGCACAAACGTGTTATCTAGTCACGATCTCAGTATTCCTTTCTCTGTTCCTGACATCTGATCATTTGCAAGTCCAGTTGCCTTTACCTCCAAAATGTATCCAATATCTATCCAAATGTCTTCGTCTTTAATGTTGCCACACTGAAAGTGCTGCTAAGCCACACTGTTATGCTCAACTTCTGCAATACTTCCCTTAGATTCACTGCTTGCATTCTTGCTCTCCTATAATTTATTCTCCACACAGCAGCCAAAGTGATACTATAATATTGTTAACCAAAACATACTATTCTCCCATTGAAAACCTCCACTGGCCTCCCATTGAGTTAAAATGAAATTTAGACTCCTCACCTTCAACTGTCAAATTCTACACACTTTGACTCCTGCCTTCCTCTTGGTCACTATGCCTTCTCCTTTCCCTTGGTCACTATGCCTCAGCCACAGAGACTTTTTTCCTGCTCACTGAACATGCGTAGCTTGTTTCCGTCTAGTATCTTTGCACTTAATGTTCCTTCTGTATGGAACACAGGTCTCCCTGATATTTACAGTGAGGGTGATTCATCTTCTCCATGGAAAAGCCTTCCCTTAATAACCAACCAGTTTAGCTCTTTTCCCACCCAGCCACTTGCTATCATAAGGGCTTCCTAGCACTTAGCACTATCTTAAATGACCCGATGTACCGTTTCTTGTTCCTTGTCTGTCTCCTGCACCAGCATGCAGGCTTGATGAGTGTGAGGATCTCTGTTGTTGCTCACTGTTGGATCACCAGGGTCTGGAATGGCCAGGCCCACAGTAGGTATTCAGTTTGCCCTCTTTCCAGCTCCTCTCTGTCCTTGCATGATTTTGCACGCACTCAGAATTCCTTCTTCCTTCCATCTGGATGTTGTAAATGCTAACTCACAACCTACTCCATGGAGTCCTTTTTCCTCTGTCTCAGCAATGGGATTCCAGTTGAAATTGACCCAATTGTCCCACAGACAGGTTTGTTTGTTTATTTTTGTTTTTATTTTAAATAAACATAGAAATTGACCCTTTTGGTCTTAAAGCTTGAAACTTAACATTTGTTTTATCTGAGTTTCTTCCTCAGGAAAAAACCACTAGGCCTTCCAAAAAGTATCAAAGAATTGAAACTCATCAGATTATTGCATTCAGACAATGAGCCAGGCCCCTCCACTGACCATGATTGCTTCCTTATCCCTCCCGAATTCTGGTTTTCCCATACATAGTTTCAATTCTTCCCTGCTATATAAACCCCTACTTTTAGTTGGTCAAGGAGATGGATTTGAGACTGATCTCTCATCTCCTTGGCTACAGCACCCAATTAAAGCCTTCTTCCTGGGCAATAATCATTGTCTCAGTGATTGGCTTCCTGAGCGGTGAGGACCTAGACCAAACCCCTGGTGTTTTCGTAACATAGTCAGCTCAGCTCAGCTTTATCCTTGAACACACTCATATGATTCTGTGGGTTACCTCAACACTAGCTGGTCAGTGTGTTGAGGGCTGGGCAAATATTATAAATTAAGAAATATTTTCTGTTTGACTTTAGTCTTCTGAATTATTAACGTTGTTTTTTGGTATTCTAGCATAAATGAATTGCTTCTCTTTCATTCTAGAAATCCTTCCTATTTGACAAACGGCCACTCAGTCCTGCGTTTAATGCTCTTAAGCAAGAGGAATATTCCCGGAGTCTCCTGAAACAAATGGATAACAGACAGGAAAACGAAATAAAGCAAAGACAATACAGAGAGTTGATGGATCGCCTGGAACAAGTGCAACTCACAGAGGAGTAAGTCCAGCTACACATGCTCTGAAAGATGGATTTGGAATTTTCATGTGGTTACTTTCCATGTAGGATTGAATCAGCATTGGTAGTTTCATTAGCACGCTGTAACCAACTGAGCAGACTAACCCAGTTAGCAGCCAGTACTGAAATGGGAAAAGTTCTCTTGTCCCCCTCGCAGGGCACGCAATGGGGGTGTGGCTTGCTTCTTCAGTGCCCTGCTGCTCAAACCTCTAGGAGAGCATACAGACGGGCAGGCTGTGGGGCTCTGGCCACACAGCGGCATCTAGGGGTGAATGTTTACAGCTCCTGAAGCCCCAGCGGGCATGTGTTACAGACAGCTCTTTTAGTTTAGCCGTCTGTAGGGGGCTTATGTTAGGGCAATTAGACCCCTGCCTTATCGCAAGGAGAGGGCTTTCTGTATCCAAGGGTTCTTGCCTTGGTATACCAGAAGAATCAGATCACACGTGGGCTTGGAGAATGAGTGCAAGGTTTTACTGAGTGGAAGTAGCTTTCAACAGATGGATGAGCCAGAAAGGAGATGGTTTTCCCCTGGGGTCGGGCTGCTGTGCAGCCCGGGTTCCCCTCCAACCACCTCAGCCAAACTCCACGTTATTCTGCAGGTTGACGGCCTGCTGGCGTGCCAGTGCCTGTTGGTGTGCTCTGGACATCCTCTCAACGTCCAGCCCCTTGTGTGTTCCTCTGCTGATGTGTTTCTCTTGACGTCCAGCCGCTTGTGTGCCTGCCTGCTAGGGTCTCAGGGGTTTTTAGAGGCACAGGATGGGGGTGTGGCAGACCAGGGTGGTCTTGAGAAATGCAACATTTAGGCAGGAAAACAAAAATGCCTGTCCTTATCTAGGTCCATGGGCACAGGTGGAACCCTAGCCAGGGACCATGTCCTAGGGTGGAGTCCTAGCCAGGAACCATGCCCTTCCCCCACTTCCATATCATTTAAAGGGACCACACTCTTCCCTTCCCAGCACTTCCCTTCTGTATCAGTACCATAATTTTTTATTACAAAAATGAAAAAGCTGTCATAGTTATAATTATAGTAGTGATAGTCAATCTGTAATTACTATAATACAGAGCATAATCTTGTATTGTTTTTGCAATCGCCAATACCAGTAGATGAAGAAAGGGACTTGTCTTGAGCAGCTGTTCCTAGCTATTAGATGTTCAAATGACCTCATGGCAAAGCTGAGGTTTTATTATAATTATGTAGGGGTGTCCCATGGAACCTGAGGGCAGGAATGTACAGGGAACATAGGAAGGACTGGAACCAGTGACTAAAAAGCCACGTAAAGCGGCTTTCCCTCTGCTTACATACACAGCCCCTTAGTTAACATTGTCTGTGTTCCAGCTCAAACTTGGAGAGTGGTACTCTCAATTCCACATTTTCAGGAAAGAGCATCTGATTGGTCCAGATTGGGCTATCTGAGGCCTGGGATAGGGTCAGGGACATGGAGTTTATATATGCCTAAGGGGGCCCACATTTTTGCTGCTGAGATTGGGAGAACAACTATGGAGGCTGTTATAGTGTGAACAGAAACTCCTAAAACAAATAAGAAGCAAGCTTCCGTGATGAAAAAATGTATTTCTATAAAATGTATATGTTCCATTATACTCACTTGAAAGATCGTATATGGGTTCTTTAGAAGTTACATATAATAGAACCATAATTTTTAATAGGATAGGTAACTTAAGAGATTTCAAAATAGAATCAGTTTATAGAATGAATAGTCACTTCCTGCTTTCTTATCTAGATTTTTAAAATAACTGGTGGGTGTAGGAAGAGGTGGAGTGGTGGTGATGTGTCTGCTGTTTTAGTAGTAAGCCATTTGGACAATATGGTCAGTCACCTGTCTATACCTGTCCTGTCCTGTGTTCAACACACTGTTCACTAGCCTATGGAGTTTTTGTTTTTTTTTTTTTTGGTTTTTTTTTTTTGCTGGAGTCTCGCTCTGTTGCCCAGGCTGGAGTGCAGTGGTGTGATTTTGGCTTACTGCAACCTCCACCTCCCAGGTTCATGCAATTCTCCTGCCTTAGCCTCCTGAGTAGCTGGGATTACAGGCACCCACCACCACCCCCCGCTAATTTTTGTATTTTTAGTAGAGACAAGGTTTCACCATGTTGGCCAGGTTGGTCTCGGACTCCTGACCTCAAGTGATCTGCCCACTGCAGCCTCCCAAAGTGCTGGGATTACACACATGAGCCACTGTGCCCGGTCGCCTATGGATTTGAGTTACTCTTTTCTTTCTTAAAATGAAAGCTACCAGAATAAAACATCCATTTTTATTTACCAGACTCTTATTCCTATTTAATATTTATTAAACCTGTTTTGATGATGTTAATCCGTATTACTAAAGACTGCAAAACTGTGGTCCATCTTCTCCTGTTCTTAACTGCCAGACTTGCTGTGCAAAGAGCGAAATTTTTAAAAGATAAGATGGAAGAAACACAGTGTTACAAGAGAGCTTTGGATGCACAGGTAAGGGGACAAATATTACTGTTTTTAAAATTATGCAATGCTTCAATAACATCCTAAAATATGGATAAGTTGTTATATTTTTATGTGTTGTGCATTTGGTAGTTTTTGTGCCCCACATTCCTTCCTGTAAGACACTGGTATTTTACCACGTTACAGGGTTGTGCATAAAGTTTATTCCCTGATAGAATGCTTATGTGCATTATGTGTATCTCTGCATTATGTGTATCTTTGTTTAAGATAAAGAACAAACCCTCTCGGCTGCCGCCCTTTGAGCCAGACTCCTCTGAGCCCATCTTTGGTAAGAATGAAGGTGAACTGATGGTGGAAAAGCAAAAGCGAGAACAAAATTACATGAAACACCAGCTGGAGGCAGCTGCTAACCACAAGAGGAAAGCCATCCTGCATCAACTAGTGGACCAGAGGCGGGATTTGCAAATGCTTCAGAGGACACAAAGAGAGTAAGGAGACCCCTGATCTTTCTCCCTCCACCTTTCCTCACTTATTCCGCCTCCTTTCTCTCTCTTTCTCCACCCTGTCCCTGCCCCTCATCTTTCTCATACAATAGTAGAGAAGTAAGAATAGGAAGAATAATAGCTAACACATTGAGGAGTTATTTGTGTGAGACATTGTTTTAAACTTATTACATGCTTCATCTTGTTTTATCCTAATTCCTTATCTGAACAAAAAGTTACTAAGTAAAATTTTAAAAACCTCTCTTGACACTTTAGTGTTTTCCAAAGTGGTTGTACTACTTTACATTCCCAACCAATAGTGTATGAGAATTCCAGTCCTCCCCATCATTCCCAGCACTTGGGGTAATCAGTCTTTATTTTATTTTATTTTATTGATTGAGACAGGGTTTTGCTCTGTCACCCAGACTGGAGTGCAGTGGCATGATCATGGCTCACTGCAGCCTCAACATCCTGGACTCAAGCAGTTCTCCCACCTCAGCCTCTGGAGTATCTGGAACTACAGGCGAGTGCCACCATGCCCAGCTAATTTTTAACCTTTTTGGGGAGACAGGGTCTCACTATGTTGCCCAGGCTGGTCTTGAACTTCTGAGTTCAAGCAATCCTCCTGCCTCAGCTTCCCAAAGTGTTGGGATTATAGGTGTGAGCCACAGCACCCAGCCCGATCAGTCTTTTTAATTTTAGCTGTTCTAACAGGTGTATAGTGGTGTCTCATGCTTTAATTTGCATTTCTTTAATGACTAGTGATGTTGAACATCATTTCATATGCCTATTTGCCATCCGTGTATCTTCTTTGGTTAAGGGTATAAAGTATCAATCCAAATCTTTTGCTTATTTTATAAACTCTTTTCTCATTGTTGAGTTTTGAAAGTTCTTCATATATTTTGTGTACAAGTCCTTTATCTGATATATTTGTAAAGCCTAAACATGCCTGAAAGGAAGATGTCTTTCCCACTGATTTTTTTAAAAAAATGTAATCCCTTAGGTAAGCATTCAGCTCCTCTTTAGCTTCTGTTTTATAACAGCAGAACCACCATCACTTGTCCCATAGTGGGAAGCAAAGTGTGCTTTCCATAGCCAGATATGGGACCTCTGTATTTGTTGCTAAGACTATTGCTCCTTCCTGCTTCTGTTAGCTTCTCTAGTTATTTCCTAAGCTTGGAATCAGGAGGGTTAAACTCTGTCACTTTTAAGTTGTATGACTTGGGCCATATCACATGTAAGGTCTCTGAGCCTTATTGTCCTCATATGAGAAAGAAGAATAATCACATCTGCCCCTCCTATCCTTACTGGGAGAATTAGATGAGATTATGTATGTGAGAGCATTTGCGGAAACTGTACAAATCCCTATTTCTGTATTGGTCAGATCTTGTTTTCTGTTTACATATTCTTTACTGGTTATTGCAGATTCTCTCACTTCCCTTATCTTTTCCAACTCCCTTCCCTGGTCCCTCTCTGGTTCATCTCAACATGTGATCTTAGATTCTCTTGTGACAAATAGGCGGCCACTTTCCTTCAAAGGGGATAATTTAGTCAGAGTGATCCAGACAGGACTCTAAGCTATTTATACTTGTTTTTTTTCTTTTTGCTCTTATTTTCAAAAATAACAATTCATTCTCATTAAAAGAAATCAACTGAAGGCTAGCTGGGCACGATGGCTCACGCCTGTAATCCTACCACTTTGGGAGACCAAGGCAGGCAGATCACTTGAGCCCAGGAGTTTGAGAACAGCCTAGGCAACATGGTGAAACTCCGTCATTACTAAAAATACAAAAATTAGCTGGGCGTGATGGTGCGTGCCTGTAATCCCAGCTATTCGGGTGGCTGAGGCACAAGAATGCTTGAACCTGGGAGGCAGAGGTTGCAGTGAGCTGAGATTGTGCCACGGCACTTCAGCCTGGGCGAGAGAGATTGCCTCAAAAAAAAAAAAAAAAAAAAAAAAAAGGCTAATAATCTCCCCTACTAAGTAGCCAATATATATGTGCATATTGCTTAAATAGGAAATGTTTAAAAATTTTTTTGTAAAAAAAAATTTAAAAATAGGATACATATTAACCTTATTTTTTACAAAAAAAATTTAATTTTTCCTGTTTAAGCAATATGCACACATATTTTTCCTTCCACTTTTGTAAATGAAATAGTCTATGAGATCTTATCTATTACTCTGCAAACTAATCTTTCTTTAACCTAACAATATCATATACAAGTCAGTACATATATATAAGAATCATCTTCTTTAATAGCAGCATATTATCTATAATACAGATGTATAACAATTTAACTTTTGCATTATTGATGAACATTCACTTTGTTTCCAGATATTTTGCTATTACAACAATTCTGAATTAAACATTTTTAATATAGTGGTTCTTGTTTCTATCAGATAAATTCCCAAAAGTGGGGCTGCTGGGTCAAGTGTATGGTACATTTAATTTTCCTTTTTTTTTTTTTTTTTTTTTTTTGAGACAGAGGCTCAATCTGTCGCCCAGGCTGGAGTACAGTGGTGCAATCTTGGCTCACTGAAACCTCTGCCTCCTAGGTTCGGGTAATTCTCATGCCTCAGTCTCACAGTAGCTGGGACTAGAGGCACACGCCACCACTCCTGGCTAATATATGATACATTTGAAATATTACCAGAAACTGACAGTTAAATTGCTAAGAAGGCATAGCAACTTGTTTCTCAGCAGTGTTGTGAGAATGCCAGTTGTCCCCCACATAATCTCTGCCTCATTTTCTTACTTTCTAGGCATTTAAAATGCTTTTAACCTATCGTTTAAAAAATAACATAATAATGGCCAACAAGCAAATGAAAAATGATTAACAACATGAATTATTATGAAAGTGCAAACCAAAATCACAGTGAGATACCATGTCACATCCATCAGGATAGCTACTATGAAAAAAAAATAACAAGCGTTGGTGAGAAGTAGAAACCTTTGTGTACTGTTGGTATGAACATAAAATGGTACAGTTGCTATGGAAAACAGTATGGTGGTTCCTCAAAAAATTAAAAATAGAACTACTACGTCATCCAGTAATTCCCCTTCTGGCTATGTATTCAAAAAAATTGAAAGCTTATCTCAAAAGTTATCTGTACAGCCATGTTCATAGCAGTACTTTTTATAACAGCCAAGAAGTAGAAGCATTCCAAGTGTCCATTGACAGATGAATGGATAAACAAAATGTAGTGTGTGTATATATACACACTGTACAATGGAATTGTTATTCACTCTTAAAAAGGAAGAAAGTTCTAACACATGCTACACTGTGGATGAACCTCAAGGTCATTACGTTAAGTGAAATAAACCAGTCACAATAAGACAAAAAACTGTATGACTCCACTTATATGAGTTATCCAGAGAAGTAAAAATCACAGAAACAGAAAGCAGAATGGTGGTTGCCAAGCACTAGAGGAGGCAGAAATGGGGAGCTGTTTAATGGTATAGTTTCGGTTTTGTAATATGGAAGTGTTCTGGAGATTGGTTGCATCACATGAATGTACTTAACACTAAGTAACTGTACACTTGAAAATGGTTAAGATAGTAAATTTTGTTACGCATTTTTTTTAAAACCACAATAAAAAATCTACGAAAAGAAAAATAACTTATGAAAAAAGTAATAGGTACTCTTCAGTCACTGAGCTCCAACTATGTGATAGGCACTGGCACTTCCTGTGTATCATTTGGTCTTTATAATAACCACACAATAGCTGCTCAATCAATGCTTGTTAGATGAAAAGGTGTGCCGTTTTAGGAAAAAGTGAGACAGTAGAGAGGACATTAACTGATTTTTATTGGAGGATCCTGACACCCAGTGGCTGCTGCTACCTGTAACACAAAGCCCTTCAGAGCAGGCTACATCAACAGTTACATTTTGTGAAGCTCCTTCTAGATTTCAATGAGAACTGACAGTAAACGTTTCAGTTTGGCAAGAAATAGACACATAATCTGAACCAGGCTTAAGGTGATTCACAACAGTAGTGATGGAGTGTTTGGAGACCAGTGATAGAAACACAACACTGGGAATATCTCCCTATGAAGAGAGAGATTATACTGCAGTCACTTCTTCGATGACATGGCCTTCACCAAACATTCCTGTTGTTTTTTTTTTTCTTGCCTTCTTCACAATGTTAATGTTTTCTCTATTTGCTTTTCCATTGCTTAGTCACTTGTGTTTATTTTCTCTTTTTGTAGACTTTCATTTGTATACCTATCTATTTTCCCTTGTAAAATGTCTGCAGTGACTGGTAGGCTGAGTACTGGCAGCTTAGAGGCTGGACTAAAAGGAAAGAAACAGAGTATAGGAAATCCATTTGGGATGATTCTTCAGATAAGTTACATTAGCCTCAAAGGAAATTAATAGTTTTACAGGCTGAAGTTGTTAACTGAAAAAAGGTTTCAATCCTATTAAATCAAACCAGGATTGAAGATGAAAGACCTCTGACCCATAAATTATTTGAGAGCTAGGAATTTCAGTATGCTTTTACAGTGTTCACACTTTTTAGTATATTTCAGAGTAGTGAACAAAACCAGAAGGTTTTTCTGTTTAACATAAAAGGAATGGGGCTCCCAAAGTTGGTGCATGCTCTTACCAAGTATTATGGAGTCAGGCTGTTCTTTTCTCTCCAGGCATGTGGCAGACAGAACCGCTGAGCTGGAGCGAGTAAATAGAATCAACCAATGCTTACAGGAGGACTGGGAAAGGAGTGCTGTGATGAAGAAGCAGCGAGACCTGGAGGAGAAGGCTTTTGAACGGTAATGCCTGATTGGAACCCCAAAATTCTCCCGCTTCTTGTGGGACGGCAATGGGTTTCAAGTGGAACTCCACTTGATTAGTAGTGGCTGCCTAGAGAACTCTGTGAAGAAAGCAAGTCTGTATTCCATGGGAAATACTGCCATGATTGATTAGAAATGTCTGTTATAGACATGGGATTGAAGAATGCTGCGTTGTATGCTAGGTATTTACTAACCCTGCTCTAATATTTGCCTCTGCTTAGGGTGGCTTTATTTGCTTTTTGTGGAGAGTGAAGATTCTCTTTGGAAATAACTATTTGGAAGTAGGGGGAGTGAGTTTCCAATCTGAACATTTTCAAGGCTTAGGGAATGGTTATTTAAGAGCAGGGCCAGGGGTCGTAAGATTGGCAATTGGAAAAGTAAGATGCCTATTATGGAGCCAACCAAGAGCATCTTTCTGAAATTATTATATGCCTGACCTCTCCTCAGCTTAACTATTCACATCACTGCTGTTGTATTACACCTTGAAAACAAAATTAAAATACGAATGTAAGGTATGATTTTATAGCATGTTAAAAATGTGATGAAACAGATCAAGTCTATACAACCAAATTATTAAAAGCCAAATATACCAAAATAATAGTTTAAATTGCCAATTATCAATTAATTTTTAATCATGGATAAAATCTGTAGAATGGATCTTGATCTGTAACTCTCCTTTTCCTTTTAGGTTTTCTTGTAAAGCATTTCTCACCTATCTTTCTAATGAGTAGAACCCATATTTTGTGACAATGAAAGTATGAGTGATGATGTGGAAAATAGGATCCAAAGGAGAAGTGGAGTCATTTGGCTTAGAAAAAAGGAGAGGAAAGGGCAGTTGGGGATTTCAAGCTATTTTCTCAATGATCTGGGAAGGCAGGTAAAAGTCAGTGAGATTAATGCTAGGAAGATTTCAGTTGTGTTTGGGAAGAGTGCTTGGCCAACATGGTGATAAAGGATTGAGGAGACCCAGAAAATAATGTTGAGTGGCAGGCTAACAAATCTACTCCAGGTATATCGTGAAGCAGACTTGTCTGAGGACCTAGGCCAAGTGTGGACAGATACTTGAGCAGGCAGCAGTAGGAAGAAGGAATTGGTTGGTATAAAAAGAAAATAAAGCAAAAGTAAAACCAAAGTCCATATGCATGCAGTTAGCACATGATACTCTGTTCCAGCCAGTTAGGTCTTCCCCTGCTCACTTCCAAGGTAGTTTATTCTTTTTTCTTTTAAGACTGCCCTTGATAATCCTTCTTAAACAGAATTCTGGCTGGATGCCATGACTCATGCCTGTAATCCCAGCACTTTGGAAGGCTGAGGCGGATGGACTGCTAGAGTTCAGAAGTTTGAGACTAGCCTGAGCAAATATGGTGAAACCCTGTCTCTACCAAAAATACAAAAATTAGCTTGGTGTGGTAGTACACACCTGGCATTCCAGCTACTCAGGAGGCTGAGGTGGGTGGATCGCTGGAGCCCAGGAAGTCGAGGCTGCAGTGAGCTGTGATCGACCCACTGCATTCCAGCCTGGTGACAGAGGGAGACCCAGTATCAAAAAAAAAAAAAAAAAAAAAAAGAAAGAAAAGAAAAGAAAAGGAAAATCCACCTATGGAGAAATTTTGATGGGGTGGAAGAGCACATGAGGGACTCTTTCATAATGAAGAAAAACTATCAAAGGGGAAAATCAGTTACTACTGCCTGTTTATCTCTGCTTTTAGTTGCTTTCGTCTTCCTCTTTGTCTCCACTCCCTCTCCTGCCCTTAATTCTCCAGAGGCTTCTGGCCTCCTGGGATATTTCATTTTAAGTCCACTTAACTCTCTGCTGTTGTTAGCTGATAACCAGCAACTTAATGGTTGATCTTCCTCTCAAACACTGTCTCCTGGGAGCTCAGCAGGTAGAGGTATAATCCACATGGCAAAACAGTCAATACAGAGGCTTTGGAGCCACTGTCGGCTGGCTGTGTGACCTTCAGCAAGTTCTCTGTGGGCTTGGGTGGCTGAGGCTGGGAGGGGTAGAGTCAGACTGCTGTGAAGGCACAAGTTGGGGCTTTTTATTAAGTGGAGAATGACAAGCCAGCAGAGGTTTGGAAGCAGGGGATGTCAGGAGGGGGTGAACTGCCACATGGCAAGCAGGGAACACAAGGTGTTACTTTTGTGTACCTCCTGCCATACCAGCTTCCAAGTTGGGCCTCTAGAGGCTCCAGAAACCTGCTAATCTGCATTTGCTCTCCTCTCCTCAGGGCTTCAGACAAGCTGTTTCTCCTAGACCAGTGTGAGAAGTATCGGCGCTGCAAGCAGTGCCAGAGGCGCACCTCCAATGTGGGCGAGAGCAACCTGTGGCCCCTGAACAAGTTCCTGCCAGGCTCCCGGTTGCTTGTGTAAAACTCAAAGTTTGGATCTGTGTTTCCTGGGGAAAGTTTTTATCTTTTACATGTCTGGGGGTGACTGTGAAACTGCATATTTTTACCTCAGAGAAAAAAATCATTGTTTAGGTTTGGTGCTTTCATTAGATTGCTTGTTAAGCCCTTATTGAATTCACTCCTGCCTTTCTCCCACCCCCACTTATTTCCTATACTCGTCTCTGATGGCAGTGAAGGTGTCTAAATGGTCCTGAGGGCTACAACCTGCTGCACAGGGGCTGGGAAGGGGACCCAGATTCATTATGGCTGCTGGGGTACTGCTGACCCAGCCCTGCTGCTGCTTCGTGAATTTGTGTACAAAACTTTTTTCGTCTGTAATGAATAGTGGCAATAATAAATATTTTCTAAGTGCCCGACTGTGCACGACAATTCATAATGGTACATTTTACCCCTCTCCCCTCCCCCAACCCTAGACTTTTCCAGAGGGGTATATGTGTGAACATCACAGAGATGGGTTTGACTATTTACCTAGGAGGCCAGAAAAATGCTCCCTGAGTTTTCTCATTGATGACATACCTGGGACTTTAGTGGGGCCTCCCAAGATATCATTCCCTTGTCCAGCTATTTCCATGCCCTTGGAATAACTGTGCACTGTGAGGTGAGTCTCCCACTACTTCACTTCATTCTTGAGCTGTAGGTGCTGTTCAAGAGGACTCATCTCCCTGTCAGAAGACTGACTTTCAGTTAAGGTATGGCTGTTCTCAACTAAAAACTTTCTTCATTTATCTGCATACTTTCTTCTCTCCCTGCCCTGTCCGACTAATTGAGGTAAAATAGAGTGAAGTCTAGATTTCTGAAATACAAAAGCTAAGAAGGAAGTCTCTTAGACTATTTGTTTTCTGCCTGCCACATCTCTCCCTTGGGAAATGAGGGAAAGTTTATGTGGGAAGATGTTTGTGAACATTTAAACTTTCATTTTGCCCTACTACAAATACAAAATAGGAATGTGTTGAGCCCTGAAAAGTTAAGGAGAAAATATTCACTCAAGCTGATACTGGACAAATTTTGTTGCTAATGTTATCTTTTTCTATGAAAACAAGCATACCTGCTGATGATCACAATTTTTTGGAACCTCTTCTCTAATCTTTCTCCATTTCTGCCTTTCATTTCCTCAAAAAATCATTCTATGGAGGGCCAATCTGTAGGGAGACCCCATGAAACTATTGCTATGGAATAAAAGATGAAATGCTCCTGATTATTGTAAATACAAAGTTGCATGTAGGATTGTGTAAAGACAATGCCAGGTTGGACTGCCAGAATAAGCCAACAGTGCTTCCCCCTGCAGAGAGCCTACGAACAAACGTGCAGTCAGGGAGGTTTCACATCACCAAGATTCCTATCCCAGAAAAGCAGATGTTCACACCTCTGGGAATGGAATGCGACCCTTGTGGAGAGCCTATAAACAGATTCATGAGGGGCACCTGTTCATATGGATAAGATAGGGTTATAAACGCCCTCATCTTGCCATGGCTCTTCTGGGTCTCTTTAGGGTCAAGGCATACTCCCTTCTGAGAATTTCTGTTCTAACCAGTTGTCTAGCTTCACATCCTGTTTCTATGGATTGTTTGTAACCAGCTTTTGCTGCAACTGTTACTGCTGATTAATATCTTGCTAATCATAGGTTATGGAAAGACTGTGTTTCTGTTTTAAGGCTGTGTTAGAAATTACTGATGCACACACTATATTGTAAATTCTTATCTCTGTATACTGTACTTCTGCATACAGATGTTATGTTAAAGAATTACTTTATCCCCATGTGACCATCTCACCTCATAATCCAATGACCCTAAATCCCTCACTAACCTACCCCTGCCCTCACTAAACTTAATAATAAATGCTGGCATATCCACTGCATTGGCGGCATCGCGGGACCAGAAGGCAGTGACCCCTCTGGACCCAGCTTTCACTACCTTGCGTGTGTCTATTATTTCTCGACCTGCCAATCCGCCTGGGAACAAAGAGCCCCTTTGCATTGCAGACTGCTGGCCAGATCCCGCAATACCAATCATCGTTAACCAATATTTAAAACAACAGGCTTTCCCCAACACTGCCTGACCTGCCTGAATCTACATCTGCTGCACCCTTGAAGTAATTTGTCTCTAATATGTAATAAATTACTATAATAGTGTTATACTAATATATTTTTTAAAAATATAGAATGCTGGCTGGGGGCAGTGGCACACGCCTGTAATCCCAGCACTTTGGGAGGCCGAGGTGGGTGGATCGTGAGGTCAAAAGATTGAGACCGTCCTGGCCAACATGGTGAAACCCCGTCTCTACTAAAAATACAAACATTAGCTGGGTGTGGTGGCACGTGCCTGTAGTCCCAGCTACTCGGGAGGCTGAGGCAGGAGAATCACTTGAACCCAGGGGTGGTGGTTGCAGTGAGCTGAGATCACACTACCACATTGCAGCCTGGTGACAAAGCGAGACTCCGTCTCAAAAAGAAAAAAAGTAGAATTCCTTGTTAAAGAAAAATAAGTTAATTTTGGTATGTTCAGGTGAGCAGATTTAACTTCATAGACCTTTTTACTGGAGGAATTGAATTTATAATTTACTGTCATGGGTAGCAGTCAGTACTACAGTCAGACCCTTAAAAATTGTTTTTAAAAATTATATATTGACAAATTATAGTTGTATATATTTACGGGGTATAAAGTGATATTGTGATTTTTGGATACAATGTGGAATGATTAAATCAAGTGAATTAAAATGTCCATCACTTTAAATATTTAACTTTTTGTGATAAGAATATTTGAAATTTATTCTTTTAGAGACATTGACACGTAAAGTGCTCATTATATTCACCACACTGTGCAACAGATCTCAAAACGTTATCAAACTTGGCTGGGCGTGGTGGCTCACACCTGTAAACTCGGCACTTTGGGAGGCCAAGGCAGGCAGATCACCTGAGGTCAGGAGTTCAAGACCAGCCTAGACAACATGGTGAAACTCTGTCTCTACTAAAAATACAAAAAATTAGCTGGGCATTGTGGCACACACCTGTAGTCCCAGCTACTCAAGAAGCTGAGGCAGGAAAATCGCTTGAATCCAGGAGGCGGAGGTTGCAGTGAGCTGAGATCGTGCCACCACACTCCAACCTGAGTGACAGAGCAAGACTGTCACACACACACACACACACACACACACACACACACACACACACACAATCAAACTTATTTTTCCTATCTGAGGCTTTGTACACTTCAACAATCATCTCCCCATTCCTCCCATCCCCCACCCTCTGGGAACTATCATTCTACTCTCTGCTTATATGAGTTTTAGATTCCACATATGAGAAGATCTGGCATTTGTTTGTGTTTGGTGTACTTCACTTAGCATAATGTTCTCCAATGCTATCCACAATACCTTTACTTTTTATTTCTATGAGATCAACTTTTTTTTTTTTTTTTTTTTTTTGAGACAGAGTCTCGCTCTGTTGTCCAGGCTGGAGTGCAGTGGTGCAATCTTGGCTCACTGCAAGCTCTACCTCCTGGGTTCATGCCATTTTCCTGCCTCAGCCTCCCGAGTAGCTGGGACTACAGGCGCCCACCACCACGCCCGGCTCATTTTTTGTATTTTTAGTAGAGACAGGGTTTCACTGTGTTAGCCAGGATGGTCTCGATCTCCTGACCTCGTGATCTGCCTGCCTCAGCCTCCCAAAGTGCTGGGATTACAGGCATGAGCCACCATGCCCAGCCAAGATCAGCTATTTTTTAGCTTCCACACATGAGTGAGAACATTCAGCGTTTAACTTTCTGTTCTTGGCTTACTTCACTAAATTCCAGTTCCATCCATGTTGCCATAAATGACGGCACTTCATTCTTTTTCATGGCTAAATATTATTCCATTATGTATATATAACACATTTTCTTTATTCATTCATCTATTGTTGGACACTTGGGTTGATTCCACATCCTGGCTATTGTGAATAGTGCTGCAAAGAACATCTCTTTTGACATATTCATATTTGACTTCAAATCTTTGGGACAAATAACCAGAAGCGAGAGTGCTGAGTCATATGGTAACTGGGGTCATATGGTAACTGTATTTTTAGTTTTTTGAGGAATCTTCATACAGTGTTTCATAATGGCTATACTAATTTATATTTCCCACCAACAGTGTACAAGGTTTTTCCCATATCTTAGCCAACACTTGTTATCTTTTCTTTTTGATAATAGCCTTTCTAATAGGTGTGAAGTCATAGCTTATTGCAGTTTTAATTTTCATCTCTCCAATGACTAGTGATGTTGAGCATTTTTTCATGTATTTGTTAGCCATTCATATATCTTCCTTTGAGAAATGTTTATTCAGGTTCCTTGCCCATGTCTCTCTTTTTTTTTTTTTTTTTAATAGAGTTGAGTTCCTTATATATTTTGGATATTAATCCCTTATCATATGTATGGGTTGCAAATATTTTTCTCCCAATCTGTAGGCTGTCTCTTCACTCTATTAAATGCTCTCTTTGTTGTGTAGGAATTTTTTATTTTGATGTAATCCCATTTGTTTACTGCATATGTTGCCTGTAGTTTTGGGTCAAACCTAAAAAATCATTGCCCAGACCAATGTCATGTAGTTTTCCCTGTGTCTTCTTCTAGTAGTTTACAGTTTCCGGTTTTATGTTTATGTCTTTAATTCATTTTGAGTTGATTTTTGTATATGGTGTGAGATAAGGGTCCAATTTCATTCTCTTGTGTATGGATATCCAGTTTTCCCAGCACCATATATAGAATAGCCTGTCCTTTTCCCATTGTATATTCTTGGCACTTTTGGTGAGTATCAATTGACTGTAGATACATGGGTTCATTTCTGGGTTCTTTATTCTGTCCATTGGTTCGTATGTCTATTTTAATGCCAGTACCATGCTGTTCAGTTACCATCAGTTTATAGTATAGTTTGAAAGTAGGTAGTGTGATACCTCAAGCTTTGTTCTTTTTGGTCACAATTGCCTTGGCTATTTGTTTGTTTGTTTTGTAGTTCCGTATGAATTTTAGGATTGTTTTTTCTATATCTATGAAAAATAACATTGGAATTTTGATAGATATCGAACTGAAATCTGCAGATCATTCATGTAGTATGGACATTTTAACAATATCAATTCTTCCAGTCCATGAACATGGGATCTATTTCAATTTATTTGTCTTCTTCAATTTCTTTTGTTAATGTTTTATAGTTTACTTTATATAAATCTTTTGCCTAATTGGTTAAACATATTCCTCAGTAATTTATTTCTAGTAGCAACTATAAATGATAGTTCTCTTGATTTCTTTTTTGGAAAGTTCCTTGTTAATGTAAAGAAATGTTACTGACTTTTGTGTGTTGATTTGTGTCCTGCAAGTTTCCTGAATTTGTTGATCAATTCTAATGGCTTTTTGTTAGAATCTTAAGGGTTTTTCTTTTTTTTGTAGAAATGGGGGTCTCATTATGTTGACCAGGCTGGTTTCTAACTCCTGGCCTTAAGTGATCCTCCTGCCTTGGCTTCCCAAAGGGTTGGGATTACAGGCTTGAGCCACCACACTTGGCCTAAGGTTTTCTGTATGCAAAATTATGTTGTCAGCAAATAATAATAGTTTTATTTCTTCATTTCCTATTTGGATGTCTTTTCTTTCTTCTGCTTTATTGCTCTAAGGACTTTCAATATAACATTGAACAGAAGTGGCAAGAGTGTACATCCTTGGTCCAGATCTTAGAAGAAAGAGTTCCAAGTTTTTACTGTTGAGTATAATGTTAGCTGTAGGCTTATTATATATGGCCTTTGTTGTGCTGAAGTATATTCATTCTGCAATTAATTTGTTGAGTGTTTTTGTCATGAAAGGATGCTGAGTTTGTCAAATGCTTTTTCTGCATTTAATGAGATGGTCATATGATTTTTGTCCTTCATTCTGTTCATGTGATATATCACATTTATTGATTTGAGAATATTGAACCATTCTTGCAACCCAGGGATAAATCCCACTTGATCATGGTGAATAATCCTATTAATGTGTTGTCGGATTTGGTTTGCTATTTTGTTGAGGATTTTTGCATCTATGCTCATCAAGGATATTGGCCTGTAGTTTTCATTTCTTGTGATGTGCCTGTGTGGCTTTGGTATTAGGGTAATACTGGTCCTAAAAAGACCAGTATTGAAAGTATTATCTCCCATTCTTTTTGTTTGTTTGTTTTCGTTTTTGTTTTTGTTTTTTCCTGAGACAGTTTGTAGAGAATTGGTATTAGTTCTTCTTTAAATGTTTGGTAGAATTCAGCAGCGAAGCCATCTGTTCTTGGGCTTTTCTTTGGTGAGATACTTTTTACTACTGATTCAATTTCCTTACTCATTATTGGTTTGCTCAGATTTTTCTATTTCTTCATGATTCAGTCTTGGCAGTTTGTGTGTGTAGGAATACATCCATTTCTTCTAGGTTACACAAGTTTTTGGCAAATAATTATTCATAATAGTCTCTCATGATCCATTGTACTTCTGTGTTGTCAACTGTAACATCTCTTTATTTCTGATTTTATTTGAATCTTTTCTCTTTTTCTTTTCTAGCTAAAGGCTGGTTGATTTTATCTTTTCAAAAAATGACCTTTTAGTTTCTTTTGTATTGTTTTTCTAATCTCCAGAGCAGAAATAAAATAGAGATTAGATTATTTCTGGTCTGATCTTTATTATTTCTTTCCTTCCACTAACCTGGGCTTAGGGTTTTTAAAAAAATTCCTTGAGGTGTAACTTTTAGTTATTTGTAATTTTCTTTCTTGGTGTAGGCATTTATTGCTATAAACTTCCCTCTTAGAACTGCTTTTGCTGCATTCCATAAAGTTTGGTATATTGTGTTTTCCTTTTTGTCTCAAGATATTTTTAGATTTCCCTTTTATTTTCTTCACTGGCACACTGATTGTTCATGAGCATGTTTAATTTCCATGTATTTGTGAATTTTCCAAAATTCCTCCTGTTAATGATTTCTAGTTTCATACCATTGTGAAACCTCTGGTATAACAAGGTAAAAACTAGAAAACCCCTGTATAACAAGGTGAAAACCTAATAGCATTGTGCATTGGTTGTTAGAAGAACAAGGCAGATTCCTTCTGGTAAGTTTACCATGGCACAGAGCGGAAAGCTTTTTGAGGAGATGAAGCCCAAACTGAATTTTAAGGATAAACAGGAAAAAGCCAGGTGAAGAGAAGAAGGGGTCATGACAACAGATGTCAAGGCTGTGTGCTCCAGTCTATCAAGACTGAGATAGAGGCATGGTTATATGAATTATATGAATTATATACACATAAGGTCTAAAATGTTTTCTATCATTCAACCGTTTTAAGAATCAAGCTTTTTTATAGTCCTTCACTAAACAGCAGATTTCTGAGCAAGTCTTTCTAATTTGGATCTTCTTCAATGATCCTCCTTGTTAACTACTATTCTTGTATTAGTCTAACTCTGTAATTAGCCCCAACTTGCTATCATCAAGTTCTGTCTTTTCCAGAAATACAGCACAGCCAGACCGATTAATGTATCAAAGGATTTCCTATTTCAGTGGTTTTCAATGTTTTGGGCAGTCATGGAGTCTTCTAAGAATCTGATGAAAAATATATACCCTTTTCCTAAAAACAGGTACATATTCCTATACAACATTCTGCACGCAGTTACAAGTTTCCTAGGCCCCCTGGACCACAGGCCACGAATCCCTGTTCTAGATGGCTTTCCTTCACCATTTTTACAAGCTTAGGCTATCAAAAGTAAAGGATTTAATTTGCTCTTGAAACTTCCCTTTCACTTTTCTTTTTTGGCTTTTTCTCTCCTAAAATTCTGTTACTTTGCCTTGATTTTTACATAGTTTTGCTGGGTACACAATTCTATACTGACATTTTCTCTCAGCCCTCTGAAGATATTCTTATTCTCAGGTTTCTTCTCTAACAACTGTTAGAATTTTCTAAAATGTCTAGACTTTGCTTCCTGGCCTTCACATGGCCCCTTTCTTCCTTCCTTCAAAGGGCTGAGAGAAAATGTCAAGGTAGAATTGTGTACCCAGCAAAACTTTTAACAATGAAGGGAAAGTAAAAGAATTTTAGAATAAAGCCAAAAAAGAAACCTAAAGAAAAAAACAAAATAATGGTTTACTAACAATAAGGGAAATGGATTCAACAGTGAGAGATTTTCTAGCATATATAAAACATTTATCAAAGTTGATCAGATATTCAAAGGAACCTCCAAAAAAATGCTTTTGGAAAAAAGAAAGTAACCTCAGAAAGAATCGAGCTGCAAGAAGGAATAGTGAGCAAAGAAACTGATAATATGAATAAACGTAAACAAACATTGATTTGTATAAACAATAATGTCCAATTTGTGGTGTTAAAAGATTAAGATGCTTGACAACGTTAATAGTTAAAGCATACTGAATTCCTTCAAGAGACAGGAAAAGATTCTGAACCATGTTTGACTTTTTCTAAGTTATTTAAGCACTAAAAGAACAGAAATAGGGTATATAATAGACCATATGTATTAGAGAGGCAGACTCCAGAGCCAAAATTCCGGGATTCAGATCTTAGCCTTGCAAAACTACCTATTGGGTACTATGCTCACTATCTGGGTGACAGAATCATCATTCATAGTCTGGGTCACGCAATATACCCATGTAACAAATGTGCACGTGCACCCTCTGAATTTATAATAAAAGTAAAAATTAGTTTTTTTAAAAACAGTCTCATCCCTGCCATTTACTAGCTGTGTGACCTTAGGCAAATTACCGTTCTATCCCTAGGTTTTTAAAGACAGGACAGTAGAAATGACACTAGTATCTAATTCATAGGGGTTTTGTATTACATTTAGATTAAGCTTCGAACAGCGCTTACCCTAAAATAAGTGCTACGGAAGTATTAGCCCCAATAAAAACTTCCAAAAGAGTAGAGGGAAAACCTTAATCCAAGACAAGTCAAGAAAGGGTAAAAAATATAGAAATATAGGTCAAATAGCATAAAATAAGAGGGCAAAAATGCATACGTGCTTTTTCAGCTAAAAAAGTTTGTCAGACTGGATTTATGCGGAAAAAAAAAAGCGCCAAATATTATGTTGTTCCCAAGAGACACAAACATGAAACAGGTAGGAAAAGATACACTAGTCAGAGTCAACGGCTGGGAAATCTTCCGCAACCTTACCTTGTCTTCCTGCAGTTTCTGTCCAGCCTCTTCCATGCTTCCTATCCCACCACCCGCGCGTCGCTCCTCAGTCCCTCTCCTCTCGAGTGGGAGACAAGGAAACTCTGGATTCATCCAGCGCTTCTTCGCTTCAGCAACCGGCTCACGTCGGCGGCGGCAGTGATGACGTCTTCACTGGTCCGCCCAACCGCGATTAGTGAAGGGGTTCGCGCGTCGCGCGCCGTCTACGAAAGAGAGGGCTTGTGACGCAACGGCACCTCGGCGTGCGCATGTTGGTTCAGTGGAGGCCCTCAGCTGGTCCTCCTAGAGTTTGTTATCCCACTGCAGCTTCACCGCGACGCCTGCGGCTGCTCCAGGCAGTGCTGCGGCCGCCCGCGGGCCCAGCTGTATGGTTAGGCCACCATTGTTCTGAGTAAACATATTCCTTTCTGTGGTATTCTTGATCGCGTGTTTATGGAGTTTCTGAAGGGCCCTGGAGATTACTGCCAGGTTCAGCACGACCTTTATGAGGACAAATGAATGGTGGAGAGTCGTTACTGCCCCACCAAGAAGCCCCCGCAAAGCAGGTCACCTGGACACAGAAGTGTAGAACTGAGATCATCAGAGCATTTTACAAGAGTTCTGACCTAGATGGGGTAACCCTTGGCGCACTTCCTTTCCATTGGCTGAGAATTACTGAATTGAAGAACCGCGGCTTCTTGTTGGAAGGTTCATTTCATTTCCTGTCAGTACCAACTTCATATTCAAAGCTCTGTGAATTTCAAGTGGAGTATATTGGCATAGACTTCAGTTTCTTGACATCATTTCTGTATTCAAAAATTTTTAATTTTTTTCATAACCATATCAGTGTCTTTTTTTTTTTTTTTAAACTAAATTAACATGGCTCCAATGAATCACCCAGCTCCAGTGGAAGTCATATACGGGAACATGAGATTTCTAATCATACATAACCCAACCAATTCGACCTTAAACAGATTTATAGAAGAACTTAAGAAATATGGGGTTACCACAATGGTAAGAGTATGTGAAGCAACTTATGACCCTGCTCTTGTGGAGAAAGAAGGCATCCAGTTTCTGGATTGGCCTTTTGATGATGGTTCATCACCATCCAACCGGATTGTTGATGACTGGTTAAGTCTTGTAGACGTTAAGTTTCGTGAAGAACCTGGTTGTTGTATTGCCGTTCACTGTGTTGCAGGTCTTGGGAGGACTCCGGTGCTTGTTGCCCTAGCATTAATTGAAAGTGGAATGAAAAACGAAGATGCAGTACGGTTTATAAGAGAAAAACGGCGCGGCGCTTTTAACAGCAAGCAACTTTTGTATTTGGAGAAATATCGTTCTCAAATGCGGCTTTGCTTCAAAGACTCCAGTGGTCACAGAAACAATTGTTGTATTCAATAAACCTGACTGCCTGATGCTATTGCCTTGAAAGTGGGACTTCAGACAAGACCTAATTTATTGTACATTTTAGCCAACATATGGGCTTAGTGAATAAGTCTGATGAAGCTTCCACAGGGATATTGAAAAGTCACGAATTTAACAGAAATGCGACTTCTATGTTTGGCTTAGTGCTATTCCCATGCCAGAAAAAATACATAAGAAATCTGCAGATTAGATGCCAAGATCCTCAGTACAAAATTTGTGTATTTTTAGTGTCATACAGAATTAAAACTCCAGGAACTATAACTTTATGTAGTTCATGCCTTAAGTCATATCAAACACTGCAAGTAGGGCCTATATGATTATTTGCCTGCTTCATGTTTACCATCCCACATGGGTCACAGTATACATGAAGTTTGTCCAACAGGTGATTTTGTTGGAGTCTTTACACATCTTGTGATTATCTGATGTCTTTCTCTAATCTCATTTTGTTATGAAAACCTCCATTTTGAAAAATCAACGTCTGATTGAAAGTTCATGCAAAATCCACGTTGTACAGAAGCATATGTGTTGAATGTCTTCAGATAAAAAGGCCTTATCATTGATGTTTACGGTTGGGGTGTAACTTAACAGGGAGGGCCCCGAAGACAAAATTAGAGGAGACTATGAAATATTTCTAGTAAAATGTTGTTTTGATCTTGTGCAGAACATATGAACTAGGACTTTTAATTTAGTAAATGTATTTTAAAAGGTAAATATGCATTGGTCCAAGGTAAATAGAGCAAATATGGACAGAATTACAAGGAAAATTGACAAGTTTACTATAGCAGTGGGAAATTTTATTGTCCCTCTTTCAGAAGCAGATCAAGTACACAAAATCAAGATTCTGGATATAGATCTACACAAAACAGTCAACAAACTCAATCCCATGAACATACAAAGGGCATTGCATCCAACAGTGGGAGAATACGTATTTATAAGAGTACATGAACTATTACTTTTGACCATATATTTGACTATAAACCCATTTCAGCACATTTTAAGCTATTTGAAAAATACAGAACACCTTTTATCACCACAATTCAATTAAATTAGGAAAGAAGTTAATATCCACACATCTGTAATTTTGAAAATCTCTCTAGAGCCTTCCACTTCTAAATAGGATGTAGTAGGTCATGGCAGCCTAAAACTTTTCCTGCAACAACTAGAAAAAGATGGAAAAATTACAAAGATCATATTTAAAGATATGTGAGAGCTATGAAAGCAATAAGGACTAGGTGAATGGGAATTCCAGACAGGGAGGAGGCCTCCTGAGGTAAGTGACCATTTTATTTTCTAGGGACATTTACTGATTCTGGACATGGACTAATAAGGATCAAGCTTGGTCCATGAAGAGGGTCTGTCCTGAGGGAAAGGGAAACCCAGAAAAGCTTTTGGTGGTCACGTGGGGCTGGTGCAACAAATTGGAAAATTAAGAACTTTGGCCAGTTTCCTCTACCTGTTATAAGTTGGGTTCCCCAGGAAACAGACACTGAATCTGAGATTGGCATCCAAAGGATTATTAGGGTGTCTTCTCAGGGAACCACACCTATGGGGGAGCAAGAGAAATAGGATAGGGCATAAGAAGTTGAATGGTGATACATAGCAGTTGCAACAGTAGCCTCAGGCAGTCTCATAGGGAGCTCTGAGGATGGGATGGCTATTTAGAGGTGTTCTCAATTGAGGCTAGGAAGCTGGGCCTTTGGGCCCTTGAATCAACCAGTCATTGCCTGTAGGCTTCCCTTGGGGATGACGGCATAATCTTGGGTGAAGCGTTCACCTTCTGTTGAGGGCAATGCCTAGAGAGCAATGCAGCTGTGGGCCCTCAGCTGATAATGGCATCTGGAGGAATGAGTGTTTCAGACCCAAGGCAGGATCTAGGTGGTGCAACCACAGCATCCACTCTCTTAAATGATACTTGCTGAATACTGGGGCTATGTATGGGAGGCTGGGGAGTTAGAGTGAAGACTTAAAAGGCAAAGGAACTCCCCCTCAATCTAATAGTGCTTAGGAGACAAAGTTCTCCACATTCTTACCAACGCATCTCTTTTTTATTATAGCCATTCTGGTGAGCGTAGTTATACCATTGTGGTTTTAATTTTCATATTACTAATAATGTTAAGCATTTTTTCATGTGCTTGTTAGCCATTCACCTATCTTTTTGGATAAAATGCTGATTTAAATATTTTCCTCATTTTAAAATTTGAATTGTCATCTTATTAAGTTGAAGTAGTTCTTTATATATTCTGGATCCAATGTCTTTATCAGATATATGATTTGCAATTATTTTCTCCCAGTCTGCTGCTTGTCTTTTTTCCTCCCCAAAAAAGTGTTTCAAAGTGCAAAATTTTAAATTTTGATGAAACACAATTTATTTCTTTCATGAATCATGCTTTTAAAGTTGTATCTCAGAACTCTCCTCAACCTAAGTCATAAAGATTTTCTGCTATAATTTCTCCTAGAAATTTTACAGTTTTAGCTCTCACATTTAGGTCTGTGATCCGTTTCAGGTTAGTTTTTGTTTGTTTTGAGATGTGTAAAGGTTAATTTTTGTGTTTAGTGTGAGGTGGCTAAGTTAACTTTATTTTGCATGTGGCTATTCAATTGTTTCAGCACAATTTGTTCAAAAGACTCTCTTTCCCCCAATGAATTACCTTAGTAATTCTGATTAAAAGCCAATTTACCATAAATGTAAAAACTTATTTGTGAACTCTCAGTTCTGCTTCATTTGTTTATATGACCACACAGTCTTTTTTTGGTATAAATTTAAGGTGTACAAGTGCAGTTTTGTTACATGCATATATTGCATAGTGGTGAAGTATGGGCTTTTAGTGTAATCATTACTCAAATAGTGCACATTATACCCATTAAGTAAATTCTTATGCCTCACTCCTCTTCCACCCTCCCACCCTTCCAGTTCTCCAGTGAGATTCCACATTCTTTGTTCCTGTGTATGCGTTATTTAGTTCCCAATTATGAGAACATATGGCATTTCACTTTCTGTTTCTGAATTGTTTCACGTAAGGGCCTCCAGTTCTATTTATGTTGCTGCAAAACACATGATTTTATTCCTTTTTTATGGCTGAATAGTATTCCATTGTACATATATATTCATTTTCTTCTCCATTTTCTTTATCCAACCATCGACTGATGAAAACTTAGATTGATTTCACGGCTCTGCTATTGGACCACACAGTCTTGATCATTGTATCTTTATGGAAGGTTCTTGACATTGAATAGGGCACTTTGTTCTTCTTTATACTTTTTTTTTGACTCTTTGAGATCCTTTACATTTCCATATACATTTTAGAATCAGCCTGTAAGTTTTCACCAAAAAAGCCTACAAGGGTTTTGATAGGTATAGTGTTGACTTTATAGATCAATATGAAGAGAATTGCAATTTTGACAATATTGAGTCTTCGAATCCATGAACAAAGAATCTCTCTCAATTTATTTAGACCTTTAATTTCTATCAGCAATGTTTTGTAGTGTTCGGTATACTATACTTGCACTTCTAAAATTTATTCCTAAGTATCTTTTCTTTTTGATGCAGTTGTAAATGAAATTGTTTTCTTAATTTTATTTTTAGATCATTTGCTGCCAGCATATAGAAATACAACTGGTTTTTGTATGTTGACCTTGTGTTTGGTGACCTTTCAAAATTAATTTATTAGTTCCAGTAAACAGAGAGAGAGAGAGAGAGAGAGAGGAGAGAGAATGAATGAATGAATGAATGAATGAATGAATGAATGAATGTGTATGTGTTCTTTAGCATTTTTTACATGCAGGATTAGGTCCTCTGTGAATCAAGGCAGTATTAACTCTGTTTCCAGTCTTGACACCTTTAGCTTCTCTTTCTTGCTTCGTTGCACTGGCTAAACACCCTCCGTGTTGACTAGAAGTGGTAAAAACAACATCCTTGCCTTGTTCCAGATCTTAGGGAGAAAGTGTTCATTCTTTTGCCATTAAATATTATCTTTGGCTCTTTATAGATGTCCTTTGTTAAGTTGAGGATGTTCTTTTCTATTTCTACTTTGTTTAGAGTTTTTTCATAAACAGGCGTTGATGTTTTTCAAATGCTTTCTTCATATCTATTGGCATGATTGTATGATTTTTTGTCTTTCATTCTATTAATATTGTTGAACAACCATACTGAACAATTTTTGAATGTTAAAAAACTATATTTCTGAGGATAAAGCCCACTTGTTTGTTGTATGTAATTTTAAAATTTCATGTTGCTGAATTTGGTTTGCTAATATTTTGTTTAGGATTTTTGCATCTATATTCATGAAGGATATTGGCCTGTACTTTTCTTGTGCTACCTTTATCTGGCTTTGATATGGCAATACGAGTATCATAGAATGATTTGGGAAGTGTTCCCTCCCCTATTTTCTGAAAGAGTTTCTGAATAATTGGTGTTATTACTTCAGTATTTGATAAATTCCAGCAAATGAAGCCATCTGGACATGGCTTTTCTTGGGGGAAAGATTTTTTAATTACTAATTTCATTACTTATTATAGATATATTGATTTGTGCTCTAATCTTTACTTGCTTTGAATTTCGTTTGCTGTCCCCCACCCCCAGTTTCTTAAGGAGGAAGTTTAAATTATTCACTTGAGACTTTTGTTCTTTCCTTTCTTTCTTTCTTTCTCTTCTGATATAGAAATTTGCATTAGTCAGGGTACTCCAGAGAAACAGAATCAATAGGATCTTTCTCTCTCTCTCTGTTGATTTATTATAAGGAATTGGCTTGGCTCACATGATTATGGAAGCTGTCAAATTCTAAGATCTATAGGGTGAGTCAGCAAGCTGGAGACCTAGGAGAGATGATGGTATAGTTCCTGTCTAAACGCAGGAAAAAGCCAATATCCCAGTTAGAAGGGCATCAGGTAGGAGTAAGTCTCTCTTACTCAAGGGAGGGTCAATCCATTTTTTCTATTCAGGCCTTCAACTAATTGGATGAGGGCAATTAGTGGAGGGCAATCTACTTTACTTAGTTTAATGATTTAAATGTTAATCTCATCCAAAGATACCCTCACAGAAACACCCAGAATAACATTTGATCAAATATCTGGGCACCCTGTGGTGCCGTAAAATTAACCATGACAACCTTTAAAGCTATAAAGTTTCTTTCTAAATACTGCTTTAGCTATATCTTATTAATTTTCATATGATTTTAAAAACTCAGTTCAACATATATAACTTGGCTTGTGATTTCTTCTTTGATCTGTGGGTTATTTTGAAATGTACTGTTTTCCAGTATTTTGGAATTTCCCATAGTTTTCTGTTTATTGATTTCTAATTTAGTTATTGATTCTGTTACTCTATAGAGCCAATTGCATTTGAATTGTAAGGGTGAATGCTGTTTCCAGGCAGAAAGTTAGAGTGAACTAAAATTTAATCGGTAAAGAGAAAAAAGGGGAAGGGAAGGACTTCCCAGAAGGAGAGACCAAGCATGGATAATATCAGCACAGGCTTGAAAGCACATGTGCTTAGTGCTGGCAAGATGGTCAGTGTGGCTGGAACAAAGGAAGTGTAATTTGTATCTTCTTTCTTTTTGTCTTGTTTAGTATAGCGGAAGTTTGTTTAATCATTTCAAAAAACCTATTTTGCTTTCATTGATTTTCTCTACTATTGCTTTTCTTTTCTACTATATTGATTATAAAGGATATGTAGCAGAGGTACAGAAGAAGTTGTGGGACATGATGTAAAAAGATAGTGTCAAAAATTCCATGGTGTTCAGATTCCAGCTTCGCTCTTCAAACTCTCTTCTGAATAGTTTTTCATTCTCTATGAGCCCAAGGATCGTAGAGGAGGGATGTTTTCTCAGGATATTCTTCATCAGCACCGAGGAAACATCAGCACCGAGGAAGCAGTTCTTGGAAGAATAAGACCTGAGCAAGAGGTGAGTGGTATCTCTGCTAATTACTCCTCTATAAGTCTAATAGTCCATCTAGTCTGTCCTTGAGAGTTGGTCATATAGGACCTATTCGTTGCTGGCAGTGGAGATCCTGAGGCTGAGGTGGCAGCAGGAGTAGGGCCCTAAGCATGATTTATTGATTCCTTTATTATACAATGAAATTAGAGGCTGGAAGCTGCCATCTCAACATGTCTTAACATCTTAGTAGTATCTAATTTCAGGGGGCTGCAAGCTCTCTCCTGCCCCCACCCCTATGATATGGGCTCTGCTGAACATGAGAGAGATGAAGGCTAGCACTGAACTTGGTCTAAGAAACACCCAGGATGGACTGATATTACTCACTAAGAAAACTGCTTTGGATTGCTCAACCACTTCAGAGAATGAAGGATGGAAGCCAGAGTGTGTTCCAGAGCCAGGAAAATGAAATGAAGTCTTCCCTAGAACTCCCTGTGGTGCTCTTCCTCTCACTGCCTCTCTTCCTCCTCACTCCTTGGCAGGCTGACCATCCCCACCCACATTTCTCTGGTTTTCCTTTTAGAAAAAAGAATGTCTAAGACTCAGCAACCTAAGGGCAGTGACCTGAATAGTTAGCGAGCTGCCCCTAGCCACTCTTAATTTCACGCACTGCCGAGTCTTGAAGGGCGTGTGTTGCTGACATGGACTAAACTCCCTGATGGGTGGACTGTGCTTTCTGGCTAGTGGCTGTGCTCACATTATTCATCTCCCCATGACTCCCACCCATCTTTTCTTCTTGGGACTCAGTGCAAACACTGCTGTCCCTGAAGCCTTCTCTTACACTTCCATAGGAAGCATCCTCTCCCTTTTCTGACTGCCCTCAGTTTTTATCTGCTCTTCTTTCATGAACTTACCACTTTCTCCCTTATGGCAAAATGAATTGTGTCCAGTTTCCTCCACTAGAGCCAGAGCTCTGTAAAGGTAGGATTCTAGGTGAGATTCTGCATTTCCCACAAGGCCTGGCCAATAGTTGGTGATTAATGGATGAAGAAATGCTTAGGAAGGAACTCAGAGGAGGGTTCAGAAAAGTGAACTCCCAGGGCCTTCAGAGACAAGGCTTTTATTCACTGTATGCCTTGGCATCTCCTCTCATACCAGAAAGTTTAAAAGAAAAAACACAGCGACAAGGATTCACTTGGGCCATTTTGGAACCCATTTATATTGTGGGTGTTACTCTGGGCTTCATCTAGCCCCATACCAGGCTCTGAGACTGCATCAGACCGTCTGAACATTCATGGCTTCCTTGGGCCAAGTATAGCTGTCCAGTGTAAAGGAGTCATAGTCTGGAGTGTAGACCAGGGATCTTACAAAAGCCTCCTTGTCCTTAGGCTCTGGGTAGTAGGAAGCCAGGTTGTGTTTGTACGCGTAGTCGAGAACCTAGAGAAAAACATGTTTGGCTAAGGAACCGAATCTAAGGGGAAACCTGCGTAAGGATCCTTGCTTGGGATCATGAGGGAGGGGAATACACCTTAAGGAACCAGATTTGTTCCTTTCATGAGTATCACTCATGAAACAACTGGATAGGAAGGATTTTAAGCTTTCTTTCTGAACAGGCAGCTTCAACATAGCGGAATAAATACTGAGCCAGGATCAAGAGGCTTCAGCATAAATTCTGCCTGCTTCCAAAGGCCTGTGGGTCCTCAGAGGTGATATTATCCTTGCTGAGCCTCAGTTTCCTCATCTGTAAAATGGGAGTAAAGAGACTTTTCTCTGGAGCAGTGTTGATAAAATTAGACAACAGGCAAATGTGTCTAGAACCTGATTTTTTTTTCCACTAGAATATGGGTTAAATTGGATGAACAGCCTAGACACTGTTCTTTGGGTATTAGATTTGGCTTCAGGAGAATGTGAATCTAAATATCGCCCAAAGGAAGAAACTGACAGGGTGAAGCTGGACCCTGAGCTGGACTGTTAATCTTGAGGCTTGATTCTGAATTCTGACAACTCGTGAGTAGTGTGTGCTGTTGTACAATGCATTTTCTGAAATTATTTTTAAACTTATAGAAAATGTAAAACATGCACACTAATAGAAATAATAGTATGATAAACCCTCATGTATCTATTATCCAGCTTTAACAGTTATCAATGTTGGGCCAGTCTTTATTGCACCATGTTCTGATTCTTTGAAAACCCATCATCTCTGCACAGTTTTATAGTTTGGAATATTCCATGAAACTGATCACCCCATAGCCAGCCATTCTGAGAAAAAGGGGAAGGAAGAGATTTACCCTGGCCGAGAGAGCACTGGGTATGGAGCTTTTTCACTGTTCTCTGCCAATCTCCAGAATTCTGGGAGAGGAACTACTGGCCCTTTGAAGAAGGAGGAAACTGAGGCTCAGGGAAGTGAAGTGATTGGGCCAATGTTATACCATTGCTGATTGGCAGAGCTGGGACCCCAAAGTCTGAGCTTTTTCCATGATGCTATGCAAGCTGACCTTTCTTATAAATGGGCGCTTATGAGTCATTTCTAAAATATTCCCATATTCTGGTCCATGGACTTTGATGACCTTTCTGCTTGGTGTATTAGGGGAAATCCAGGAGCTTTCCCAGAACTGGCCTGGGTGGGTGTTTGGGGTGGAGCTCAAGCTGCAAACAAGAGTTTGTCACCCAGCCTCTGGGTTACGTGTAGTGCAGCTCAAGAAGATCCAATGTCTCCATAGTTTCCATCCCCTTAACCCTCCTAAAGTCACAGACAGAGAAAGTGTTTGAGCCTCACTACCCATATTACAGGGGTAGGATGCCCCTTACTTTGATGGCAATTCTCAAAGACACGTCTCGGATGGTGCTCAGTGGTGGGTACAGTCTCCCTTGGGACAGATGCTGCTCAGAGACTTCCTGGGCAATTTGCTGGGGAGAAGGAGAGAACCGAGAGGAATAAGCTGAGTCTCTGCCTTCCCAAAACAAGCCCAACCCATTACCCTAGAGACTCACCCCACCCTGCATAGTTAGTCAAACACTGCAGTTCCAACTGTTGGCTCTGTTACCAGGGAAGCTTAATGCTTGGGCTTAAGACAGGACACATCCTTTCTGTACTGTAAGACTGGCTGAGGCTTAAAACAACATTAAGTGTCTCTGAATTCCAAAGGAAAATCACTAGAGCCAAGATGAATAAATTTGTGGCCTGCAAAGCAAAGGCTATGAGATCTCCTCTTGGCTGGTCCAGCCTATTGCATGGGGATCCCTGGGTCCCTCGCTTCCTGGGTCCCAGCCTCCTTCTACATGCTTGGTACCATCTTGAGTGACCATGTAGCCTGTGTTATATCTTTTTGTTCAGTCTCCTGGAGCTCTTCCTTCCAGCCCTGGTCTCAGTCTGAGGAAGGCCTCTCCTCCAGTGAGTGACTAAGCCTCATACCTTATTGAAATAAATGTCCTAAGCACATCATCCTGAGAACAGAGCCTCCCATAGCTTCCCTTCCAGGTTCAGAGCTTGCCTCTGAGGGTTAAGCCTCATCTGCCACAGGCCCTTATCCTCCAGGCTAAGACGCTGGAGTTTGTTCAGCCTTGCAAATCAACCTCTTTAATGTTGTGGCTCTGAATCTACTCCCACCCAGTCTTCTGGTGTTAAATTTAAACTTGGGAAATGCCACTTGTGCTCTCTGAGAACTGTGTGTCTTAGAAGTGACAAGACTGAGAAGTTGGTCTCTCCTCAATGTTTTCAGATATGAGGGAAGTGAGCCTCCCCCTCTACCTCCTTCTCACACTTCCATCTTTCTTTTCCATTCATTCAGTCAAATGCTCACTGGTCATAGGTCAAACTTGACCTATTTTACAGAGTTGTTACAATGAAATGAGGTGGTGCATGCACATCTCCTTAAAGCCTATATTAATTGAAAATCAAATTCAACTTAAATTATCTTCACTAAAAATACCCTTTTCAGAAATATAACTTGCCAGGCCTTTGAAGACCGTAATGTGAGCTCCTATAGGGGAGGGGCTTTATCTTCCTCACAATGGGTGATAACAAGTAGATCCAGGAGAGATTCCTGTATAATTGATGGACACTGTTCATGAAATGATGGAGCTGAACTGTCTCACTGTACTGGAGGTAGTGGGGCAGATGTGTGGATGTCTCATGGTATTGCACAGGAAGGACTCTAGCAATTGTGTTTCTACTCAACAGGGGACTTTGCTTTCAGGCTGACTTCAAGCAGAAAGTGACTCTTTCCATCTGATGGGGGCTTCACACAGCTCTGCTCACAGCTACAGGACAAGAACACCCACCATAGCAGTGAGAAGAAAGACAAACAGAGTACTCAGACAAGAGGAAGAGAGAACTGTAACACAAAGTCATAATTAGTGTGCATGGGGCAGGGGGCAGCTGAAGAGCCTTTAGGAGACATTATTTGCACAGCCTTGGAGAGCCAGGGCTCAAAGACTAGACATAGTAAGAAGGGACCTGGTGCATGAGGTTAGCTCCCTGTGGGACTCACAGAAATGGATCCAGACAGGGCTGTGTGGAAGCCATACACATGTCTCATTGGCTTCAGGCTTTCACCAGTGCCTCAGTGAGGAGGAAATGCAGAAGGATGTTAGAAGTCACAGGAGAGCCTTTGGAACTTATTATGTGTAAATATGTTTAATATTTATATATGGCTTTGATTAGCTTAACCTCCCAACAGAGACATTTCTGTGCCTTGCTTTTGTCAGGGCGAGGATAAATGTCAGGTGCCTGGCACTTGGTAACCACCTGGTAATTTCAGCCACTGTAACTGTTATCAATAACCATGAGTGTGAATATAGGTTGTCATTCTTAATTAATTATTTCATGGTTTTCATCATGTCTAGTAAAGAACTCTTTTGTGCACTTTTCTAGTAAAATACCTGGAACAGGTACATCTCCAACACTCATATCATTTTCAAGATCTGGGTCTTCCAAGGAGAAAAAACCAGGTATGACACCCACCCCCTCCCTCACAGAAAACTGTCCTAGTGGGGCTTACTACCGCCAGTTACTCTAGTGATTTGGTTAAGGCCTGTGGCTAGAAGAAGCCATCACCTATCATAGTCCACAAGCCCTCAGTTTTAGGTGGCTTTGATGGCATCTCCTCTGTCTAGGCATCTAGATGGCATTGCTAGGAGGCAGGGGGCAGAATGAGGCATGTCTCCTCCTCTGTTAGTGCCTCTTGCTAATACCCTTCACCACTATTCCTCATTCCCTGTCAAAAGCCCCATGTGTGATTGAAGAGGTCAAGCTTCAGGGTGGCCATGAAAGATGCTTGAGGTTTAAGCACTTTGGGAATCCACTGGCAACGTTGGGGCAGATGGGCAGCAGAGATAAGAGAGATCCAGTATAGGACCCAGTGTTAACCCACAGACCCTACTGCAAGCATTTGAAGGAGCAAGGACAGTGATACCTCTGCTGTCAGGAGGAAGATCTCATCTGGGATGTGCCGGATCCCGCCGGCGATGACTCCCAGTGCCACCCCAGGGAACACGTAAGCATTGTTTCCCTGCCCAGGAATGAAGGTCTTGCCATCTTCCAGAGTCACACTCTTAAAAGGACTTCCACTGGCAAAAATCCCCCGGCCCTGGAGGCAGGAAGAAAACCAGAGATGAACTTGGAGATTGGTTTGGGGTAATAATCGTGGCCCCCTATTCTTATTTTCCAAATGTTGGACCCTTCTTCATCCTCTCCCAAATGCCCAGCACCGTGCTGAGAACATGGCAGGTATTTAAAGCACATTTGTTCATTTGACCAGAAAGCTCAGCCCTCACCTGCTATTTAGCAGCCAAGAAACTGCTGAAAGGTGATGGTGTTCACAGTAACATTTTTGTCACCTCCTGGCAGGGCCAACCCAGGACATGACAGAATGTGGCCTAGAGTGTACAAGTGCCTCAGGTTCTGGGTTCTGGTCAAACCTCTGTGTTATTAAGAGCTTGGGCTTTGGAGTCAGACCTGGGTTTGACAGCCAGCTCCACTCCTTATTAGTTCTGTGACCTTGGGCATGTTACTTCATCTTTCTGAAACTCAGTTTGCTCATCAGCAATGTACGAATATTTTTCACCCTCATGGGGTTACTCATAGTAATTGTTACTATGTCCTCTCAGCCGGGGGAAGGAAGGACTCCCCGCTGACCTCGGTGACCCGGTAGCACTTCTCAGCCGTGCACTCGGCCTTGCTGGTGGGGTTGCTCAGGGCAAAGATGATAGGGCGCTCGTGGAAGGAGGCCATGTCCCTCAGAATCTGCTCCGTGAAGGCTCCTGCGATGGCAGCAACACCTACAGGGAAAAGGGGGGTAGTGGGGATGCCTACTCTTTAAAAACAACCTATTCCTCTTCTGCCAGTGGTGGTGGGGGAACTAGGAACACCATGAAAGATTTGGTCTTGGGCCCAGCATTTGCCACAAGGACTGAGGGAGCAGAACGGAAAATAATCTTCCTGCTTGAGCTGCCTGAGACCTCCTTTTCATCTCTAAGGGACTACTGGTCCACCTCAGGTCCCTGCCAGTTAAGCTGCTCCTGTGAAGGCATTCCTGGGCATTTCCATGGACAGTGAGCTGCTCCTCAGGACACAGGGAGATGCCAGGGTCTGCTTTGGGAGAGGAATGCCCATCTCATTGTGGTTAGAGAGACCAGGCTGGGTGTGGTGGCTCATGCCTGAAATCCTAGCACTTTGGGAGGCCGGGGGGCAGTGGGGCAGGGGCAGTTCACCTGAGGTCAGGAGTTTGAGACCAGCCTGGCCCAAATGGTGAAAATCAGTCTCTACTAAAAATACAAAAATTAGCTGGGCATGGTAGCGGGCACCTATAATGCCAGCTACTTTGGAGGCTGAGGCAGGAGAATCAGTTGAACCTAGGGGGCAGAGGTTGCAGTGACCTGAGATTGCACCATTGTGCTCCAGCCTGGATGAAAGAGCAAAACTCTGTCTCAAAAAAAAAAAAAAAAAAAAAAAAAAAGAGAAAAAAAGAGAGAGAAAGAGAAAGAGAGAGACCAGCCTTGCACTTTTTCATTGTATTGTATATTTCTGCATCATTGAGCCCTAACTCTGGTGCCTTAGTTCTATGGTTTCTATATAGTAGCCACTCAATAACAGTTTGTGGCATTGAATTGCACTTGGGATAGAGAAAATAGCTGTTTCCATGGGTTACTTAGACTTCCTGGCTGAGCTTCTGTCTCTCCATCTGCAAGTCAAGAGGGTTAGCTGGGCTGGGCAGTGGGTACCCTCCCTCCTCCTACCTATGATGGCTGTGGGCTTCACCAGCCTCACCACCTCCTCCAGGGAGTTCACTTCAGGATGGTCTTGGGCAAACATCTCCTTTTCATGGTTCAGGTGGCTCCTCCCCTATAGGAAAAGAACACAGAGCAGCTGTGGTCATGATGGCCTGTTGGGCAGGAGTACAGATGCATTTGGAAACTCTGAGAGCATTTCCTGCTGATCCCCATGCTTTGGTCTGAGCTGTCAGATGTTTTGGGGCCCATCTTCTTGACTACATTTCCTGGCAGAACCCATGGTGGGACCTAAGTGTGAGAGTGGGGTATGTGTGTGCGTGTGCACGTTTCTTTAACCCAAACCACATATGGAGAATCCATAAAGAATTTCTTTGAGCTGTTAGGATTCTGGCTTCCTGGGCCAGGAGAGAAAGGCTTTCGGGCAATGCCTGAGTCTCACCGAGACCCTTTGGCCCAAGGCACCCACCACCCAAGCTCAGTTGAGGGATGGGGACCTGTGCCACCCAGGGTCAGGGAGCTTATTTGAATATGCTTATAAAAGCCATTAATTCCTCTGTGAATAATACTAAACTAAGCTCCAGGAAGGTCTTAGAATGACTGGCCATGCCCAAACAGCTCCAGTTCTTCACATTTCTTCAAATGGAAGTGGGTGGGTGACAGGCTGGCATAAGTGCTGGTAAATGGGTTCAGATGCTTCTGATGACTTCTTTGGGTTAGCTGGCCTCATGGGAACCAGTGCAAAGATGTCAGCTTTGAGAGCTCCTTGGCTAGGGTTGAGCTTGATGGAGTGAGAAGAATGATGTTGAAAGATGGATAAGAGGGAAGAGTGGCAGTCTCTGGCAGCCTACACCTGTGGCCAGATTATGCTCTGGAAAGACGTGGGGATGGGAAGAGGAATCTCCAAGGCTAAGTTCCTTCCAGAAGAAATCTGGCCCCATATGGAACAATAAGAAGGTCAGTTATGCTGAGGATCTCTGCCATTCTTGGTCAATGTCCTTATGCACTTCCCCTTTTCCCATCTCTGCCATAATTTTTTGTCTCTCACTGACACTCTATGTTAGTGAAATTCTGGGAATTAAAGCGCCGAGTATAGCTCTAACGGAGGGGTCCTTCAGTTGTGTCTCTCAACACATGCTAGCTGGAAGCTGGACTATTTCTCTCTCATTCATTCTTTCATTCATGCCTCACACATTAATTATGCACTTACTATGTGCCAGGCATTGATATCAAGACTGTAGTCTAGTGGGGAAACTGGAAAGGGACAACTTCTGTACAGTGTGGTAAGTACAATGTATGGAGCATAGATGCAGGAAATAAGCTTTTTGGAGGAGGTAATATTTGAGCACTATCAGAAGATAAGGAGGAAACTGGGAAGGGGTTAAGGGTTGAGAGTTGGCATGTGGAAAAACGGAGGAAAGCAATTCAGGCAGAATAACAAGATGTGTAAAGATGTGAAAGACAGAGAGCAGGCTGCTTTTGGAAACTATGATTTAATGTGGCTGGAGGCTAGTGCAAGTCAGGAAGTGGTGGGGGACAAGACTAAAGGGGCACACATCTACACATTTGCACAAACTTTTGGACAGAAACAATTAAGGCTACTTAGGGATGAATCTTCTGCTTTGGAGTTTAGGCCATTGCCCTCGTTTTGCTCTCTATTCTGATTGAGCAGTTTACTTCTTGGGGACCTCTTCCAGTCCAGTTCCTGGAAGCTGTAAGGTGTCAGGAAACCTCCAGGTCTCCAGACTGACAGTACCTTGACAATGAGCCCTTTAGAGTCCACCATCCAGATCTTTCTTGTGGCCTCTGCCTTCGGTACACCTTCTTTCTCTAGGGCCATGACAAGGAGGTGGGCAATGCCCATAGCTGCCTGGAAGGTACCATAGGGTGGACGTTCAGACACAGGGCAAACAGCTGCTGAACATTTTTATCTGATGTCTCACCATAATGACCCCCTCTTCTTTCCCCCACCTCCATGACTCCCAGGAGGCCCAATTAAGTCCTTGTCTTGAGACACCCAATTGTCAGAGCCTAGGCAGCTGCAATGATCACAATATGTCTGTTCTGCTTCCTCTCTTCAGAACCCCAGAAGGCCTCCCTTTTTTGATATACTTCCATCCATTCTTATTCTCTTCCTGGAGCAACAAAAGAAACCCTTAATGCCACCTACCTCGCCTGCACCTTGGAAAACAAACACGTGATTGGAAAGCTTGTTCTTGGTGATTCGCAGAGCAGCCAGGATCCCTGCCACAGCAACGGAGGCTGTGCCTGAAACAGAGTGGCCTGAGATCAACCTCTGGCCACAGGCCCCCAGCTCCCAAGATAAGACCCTTGGCAGAGTTCCCCACACCTTGGACCAGTGGAGGAACAGGCAACTTTTCTTAGCCCTTATGCCCCATAGGCATGCAAGTTTTGGTGCAAATCCATGATCTTTTTTGCAGATAACTTTTTTTGTTGTTGAAGTTGAGAAACAGCTCCTGGTTTGTTACTTGACCCCATAAGATGGGATCAGATAGCCAGGTGCTGCTACCACCATCATTCATAAAGAAAATGATAAATATAATGGAAGACAAAAAAAGCACGAGCCTCTCAGAATTATATAAGGGCTAAATGCATAAAAACATTAAAAAAATGAGAACACAACCTGGCCATGTGACATTAAATGACCATATGGCCTGAGCTGCGTATCTTATCCACCAAGTCATAAGGTTGGGTGTGTCTGGTCACACACCATCATCAAATAGCTTGAGTATGTCTGGAAGGAATAAGTAAGTCGTATGAGTAGGTGGCTCAGATTCATTTGAACCACTGCTACATGACTTTTCCCTGAATCCACATCTAAGGCCTCATTGGGGATTCCTTAAGAGTAGCTGACCAAGGAGAAAAAACTTGGGCTTGGTTTACAAGTTGTTGTGAATAATATGCTGGTACCAACTAGAAGTGTAAGGTGGTGGCAGCTTCACAGCCCCAGTAAAAGGTAGCCTTCAAAGGTAATGGTGAAGGACAGTGGACATGACTTCATGTGGTAAATTTAGTTGTATGCTTTCGTCCAAGGGATGGTTAGCACAACATTGATTCATGAGCAGTTGCTAATGGTTTAGCTGAATGGTCAGGGACTTGGAAAGAACAAAATAGTAAGATTGGTGATAAGGAGGTCTGGGGAAAAGGTAGGTGATGGACCTCTTGGGATAGATACAGAGTAAGAGGATATTTGTGCCCCATGTGAGAGTTTATCAAAGGACATGATGAAAACAGTCTTTCAATAATCAGGTGAACAAAATGGCATGGCCTGAGTATGTTAGACAGCATCTTTCTTTAGTCACCCAGGGTTAGCTTAATGGACTTATGCATAAAACAGCCATGGTGGTAAGGATGGAGGCTATGCATGGGCTTCATCTTACCAAGCTGGCCTGTTACTGTTGAATGATTAACCTGTCAAACACAGAGAACAATGCTGAGCTCCTGATGGGCACCGTTCCCTGGGGGGACCATTCACCTGGTGGCAGGATGATTACACTAGACTGCTCCCATCATGGACAGGAAAGAAATCTGTCCTAACTGGAGCAGATATACATTCTGGATATGGATTTCTTTCCTTGTCTATAATGCTTCTGCCAGCACCATCATTTATGGATGTTTGAAATACCTGTTTGTCATCCAGATATATTACAGACAGCAAGGCTTTTAATCAAGGAGTTTACTTCACAGTAAAAGATGGGCAGCAATATGCTCACGCCATGAAATTCACTGGTCTTAACTTGTGCTCAGCCACTCAGGAGCAGCAGGCTTAGTAGATCAGTAGAATGGCCTACTGAAGAATTACTTAAGACTTAAGTCGAAGCAACACCTTATGGAGATAATGAGCTTCTCTTTTATGGGATGCAATGTATGATGACTTAGCAAGCAAGACATTGTGTTTTTCTCTCATAGCCAAAATGTATGGGTCTAGAAATTGCGAGGTGGAAATGGGAGTGGCTCTTCTCACCATTTCACCTAATAACCCACATACAGAATTTTTGCTTCCTGTCTCTTTAATTTTGTGCCCTGCTGGATTGGAGGTCTCAGTTGCCAAGAAGGAAATACTTCCATTAGGATTTATGACATGGTTCTATTGAATTGGGAGTTGAAACAGCTCCCTGGCTAGCTGGGGCTCTTCATGCTGCTAAATAAGTGGGCAAAGAAGGGGATTACTTTTCTGGCTGTTGTGATTCATCCTGATAATCAAAGGGACAGTGAGGACAAGGAGGACTATGTCTGAAGCCTAGGGGAGTCTTCTAGGGGAGTATCTTCATATTTCCATGCTCAATAGCAAATATTAATAAATACTATTGCAACGAAGGAGATTCAGGCCTATGGAGGATTCAGATCCTTCAGAAATGAAGGTTTGGGTCACTCTACTGGGTAAAGAATCCTGGCCACCTGAGGTCCTGTCTGAGGACAAGAAAACATGGAACGGAAGGTTGAAGAAAAAATTTACAAAAGTCACCTTTGACATCATGACTGGTTACAGAAACAAGGAATATAGCAGCCATGCATATTTTTCTTCCTTGATCATAATGTGACTATAATGGTATACATGAGCTAATTTCTTCTCCCTTCTCCTCCCTATTATTTTATGTAAGTTCTGTTGGAGGTTAATTCCACATGTTAGTCTTTAGATAACAGAGTTTTCAAATGTGACTGAATTTTATGAGCTATTAATTCTGCTTAGAGGTGGATAGCACGACTATCTTCCAGAGCTGACTAAAATGTCTGTTGGGACATTGTCTATCCCCATGTCGGAGAGAAGGTGAGAATGTCTTCATTTGTTGGAAAACTAGTTAAATGTTGTGAGGCATTTTGTTAGAAGTTTTTTTTTTTTTTTTTTTTTTTTAAATTTTAGACAGAATCTCACTCTGTCACCCAGGCTGAAGTGCAATGGCATGATCTTAGCTCACTGCAACCTCTGCCTCCTGGATTCAAGCAATTCTCCTGCCTCAGCCTTCCAAGTAGCTGGGATTACAGGCAGCCACCAAAAAGCCAAGCTAATTTTTTGTATTTTTAGTAGAGACAGGGTTTTGGCATGTTGGCCAGGCTGGTCTCAAACTCCTGACCTGAGGTGATCTGCCAGCCTTGACCTCCCAAAGTGCTGGGATTACAGGCATCAGCCACCACACCTGGCCAGAGTTGTTTTTGTTGTGTGGAAGTACATACGTGCCAGACAGTGTATGTGGATGCTGAATAGCCAGAAGGGTGGACTGTACCAATTATTGGGTAATTGTTTCTCAGCTTCTTTACACTGCTTTGTCTGCAAACCACTTTTCAGCTTTGCCAACTTGCTCTATGCTGGGCTCTGCCAATAGTAGGTGCTAGAGGGAGAAAAGGGCTAGGTGAGGGGGATAATGTGTTCCCCCCTCCCCCAGCATCATCCGTCTTCTTAGGATTGCAAGGTAAAATGTAGGACACTTTGTAAAATTTGATTTTTAGATAAACAACAAGTTTTTTTTTAGTATAAGTATGTCCTATGCAATATGAGCATAAATACACTAAAAATTATTTGTTTCTATCACCGAAATTTAACTGAGTGTTCTGCATTTGGTTTTGCTAAATCTGCCAGCCCCACAGTCTTAGTTCTTCAACTTCCCAGCAGCAGTTTGTTCTTGAAGCAGAAGTTGAACGCAGTTTGCAGTTTGGCCATCACTGAGAGAACTAGCCTCATAGCTGCCACTAAGTGACACCAATGCCACTAACTGCCACCTCCTCTTTCCTTTGTTCCCTTAGCCTCAGGAGTCGTAGCAGATCCTTAGTGTTTCTTTTTTGGCTTTTGAATTCTTTAATAGACAATTAACATTTTTTAAAATATTAAGTGTTCTCTGTTAAAGCAAGTGGTATAGACTGATACAGAGAGCTCACAATGAAGTAATCACAATCAGCAACGCTAAGCCCCCACGATGGTGAAACCAAAACAAAACAAAACAAAAGAAAATTAAAGTAGGACTATTTATGGCTTATTACATTTGGATAATTAAAAAAAAGGTTGTCATCTATGACTGGTGAGGGAGGAATGAAAAGTAAAATGTCCCAATATCCTTTGTGTTTTGAAGTGCTACAATCTTTTGTGGAGAACTGTTTCCCCATCTGGAGCAAAGGCATAAAATATTTTTGCCCTTTGACCTTATACTTCTACTTTTGAGAATCTATATATGGTAAAATCCAAAATGTATATACTAGGATATTTATGACAGTGTTATTTTTAATACAGAATGGCTGGAAATAACCTACACATCTAACAAAGGAGTAATGATTAAGTAAAGTAGCCAGGGTAGACACAGTAGACTGTTTTATAGCTATTAAAAATGATCATCATGAATATTATGCAGCAACATGGAAAATGCTATGAAGCTAGTCACTAACATCAGATATTGTTCCAAGTACTTTATATGTCTTAACATGAAGACAGTTATTTATTTAATCCTCATTGTTGCCATCTTCACTTTACAGATTGGGAAAATAAGGTATGGTTTGCTGAACTGTACAAGATCATATAAGAGAGCCAGGATGTGAATCCAGGGACTCAAGCTCTAGGACCTGTGTGCTTAAGCACTAACCTATGTTCCATTGAGTTGGCTGGAAGGAAGAGAACATTAAATGGTATGCATGTGATGATTCTAATTGTAATGTATGACACACATAGAATCCAGAAGGAACTTACAAAATACTAATGGTTGCAGGGTGGGGGTATGAGTGAATTTTCTATATTCTCTGTTTCCAGTTTTCTAGGTGGCTTATTTTTTGCTAGCTCTGGGGTGGGCCTTCTCCTAGATTTATACTTGGCTCAGTGGCTGAGATGGGGGTACAGCAAATAGTTGGTGGCCAATAAGTGCACATTCATCATTGTGGACATCAGAAGGTGGGACTCTATGCAGGATCATACTTGTCAGAAGATGGGGTGCAGGCACCCCTGTCTTCACACAGCTGTTACCTAGAGGGAGTGTTGAACTGTTGGCAGTGTCACAGGGACAGGGCTGAGGATACTGGGACTTCCTAACATCCTTCCCATGGTCCCCAAAGTATGCATTGTGCACCTTCTGAGGGCCTAGAAAGTGACAGGCACCATGCCAGGCACTGTGGAAGACGGAGATGAATCAGACATGATCCCTGCCATCAGGGAACTCCCAGTTTATGAAAATTTGGGCACAAAACAGTAGAACACAGTGGGTAGTCTGGGTAGTCAGAGATCACTGGAAATTGTTACATTCATTTATTTTTTGAGCATTAGTTATGAACCA